CAATAAAAAGGCCGTGCACCGCACAGCTGGTTCCACTGTACTTGCTTGATTTTGTTTTGTTCTTTTTGTTTATTATGGGAGTGTTGGGCATTGTAGGAGAACTGTTTTTGTCCTAGGGAAGTTTGATATGTTTATCGGGGTGCAAGAGTCTTTGGTTTGCCATACGCTGCCAATTGTGTTGCAATACTATAACCTTTTAATAATCAACTATGTATACAGAGGAAATAATATACATGTATACCTACGATAATTTAAAAATGGTGAACTGGACAATTCCCTCTGATTTTCCCATCGACAAATAAGACAAGACAAACATTCACACAAAAATACATCAGCAAAATAACGTATCATCTCGACCATAAAGCCATTTCCTTGTCCAGAATGCTGAAGCTGACAGATTAAGCGCTCGTTTTAGAAAAGAAATAAAACCAATACTGAATAGTTTTCATATGCTCAACTTCCGATATGGTATTTAGTGAAAAGCCTGCTATAGAGTATACTAAAGTGCGCCAACAAACAGAAAACGAGTGTACAGAGAGATCGACAACCGTCTGTGCAGACTCAAGGGAACAGCTTCAGCGTGGACAGAAATCCCTCTTCAGTTTCTTGACGCCGTCGGCTACCTGCTCAAGCTTGGATAGACTGTAACACTGACACTTGAACACTTGTGATAATGTAATAATGTGGTCTTTCTCTCATCCTGATATGTTGATATGAAACACTTGTGATAATGTGATCTTTTTGTTCATCCTTATATGATGATATGAAAACACTGAATGTAAATAGACTGAAAAACTTGACAATTGATCTCAATGATGTGGTACTTTGTGATAACACATGTATTAAAGTCACTTTTAAAATCTGTCTTGTGTCATGTTGTGCATCTTAAGTGGACCAGTCCACTGTATGGAATAGGTAACAGGCAGGAGATTAGTTATGCAACAGACCATAAACTATGTTGTTATAAGCTGTAGGGGTAGTGGCATGTAGGGGTAATGGGAGGTTACCTGTGAGTCGACGGTCCGTCGTCACACCTGGCTCAGCGACCTAATTGCCATCTATAGTCTGATCTATTGTTTTCAGCAGCTATTCGTATTTTTTATAAGTTTGGCCCGATTTTACGAGTAAACATGCTTTTCTGGATATCCTATTACGCATCCCCCTGAACGCCCAGTTAGGCCGATGTGGGTTATTTCGACATATGCTATTTGCAATTGTGTAAATTTTAGTGATACAGGGTAACAGCCTAAAAACTTCTTTTTTTCCTATTTCCGACAGTACTTTAGTAAATACCGCTTTACACTGTTACAAATAGCAAAGTCTATGAACAATGAGTGAGTGGGTTTAGTTTTACGCCGCACTCACCAATATTCCAGCTATATGGCGGTGGTCTGTAAATAATCGAGCCTGGACCAGACAATCCAGTGATCAACAGCATGAGCGTCAATCTGCGCAATTGGAAACCGATGACATGTGTCGACCAAGTCAGCGAGCCTGACCACCCGATCCCGTTAGTCGCCTCTAGCTACAAGCGTGGGTTACTGAAGATCAATTCTAACCCGAACCTTCACGGATTTTTTTAAACGTAATAACCTCCTCATCTGTGTCAACATTTTCTGCACACTCTTGTAAATTCAAACTTATAACCCTGTAGCAGATGTTGAGTTTTAATGGTGGCAACAAGGACACCAGGTGTTCATTCTGAACCTCCACGCAAACGATTATTCCGCTCAAAAATCATCCAGTAGTATTATTCGTCACGATATGGCTGAGATATTGCCGATGTGACGTCCTCACTCCAGTAGTATTAGGTTTAGCATGGGTTACTGAAGGTCAATATTCTTACCCGGACCTTCACGGGAAGACTGAAGTAAGTGGCTACATTTAGACTAGTGAGTGTAAACTTTGATGGGTAGTATATGAATGTTTTTCTGAACGCTGGGTACATATTTGAACATATACGCACGTTCGGTTTGACATACTGCAATCCATTATTATTATTAAAAGCCCGACCGACTTTATCAGTGGTGCGTTAAGTCCCTTTGCTGCAAGTATTTGGTTGCTGAACATTTCTCGAGTGTGTCCATTTTAGACCGACGTCCTCTTGCAATGACCTGATCTATATTTTGTGGATATAACTCTACGACTTCTTTGTCAAGCCCACACCAAAGCACGTGTACACCTCTCAACCCAACAAAACTAGAATACCACGTGTACCCCTCTGAACCCAACAAAACTAGAATAGCATGTGTATCCCTCTCAACCCAACAAAACTAGAATAGCACGTGTACCCCTCTCAACCCAACAAAACTAGAATAGCACGTGTATCCCTCTCAACCCAACAAACTAGAATAGCACGTGTATCCCTCTCAACCCAACAAACTAGAATAGCACGTGTATCCCTCTAAACCCAACAAAACTAGAATAGCACGTGTATCCCTCTCAACCCAACAAAACTAGAATAGCACGTGTACACCTCTCAACCAAACAACAAAACTAGAATAGCACGTGTACCTCTCTCAACCCAACAAACCTAGAATAGCACGTGTATCCCTCTCAACCCAACAAAACTAGAATAGCACGTGTACCTCTCTCAACCCAACAAACCTAGAATCGGTACTTTACTGAGAAAGTGTGATCCCAAATATAACACGAGTTCGACACCAACACATTTTACAATCAAGCAATTCCTTCGACTATTTTGAACACCTGGTGCCATCACTGATAAGTCATCCATTCAATCAATACATTATTCAGTTTAGTAACCTTGAGCCAATATACACATAAATGTACATACATGTGCATGGTAGTGGCGTAATTTTAAATTTTCACAAATACATTCTTCTCTCATAATCATGTTAAATAAATAGACAGAGTTTATTAGATGTCCTTTGCGTTTGGTAAATATTATTTGTAAATGTACGTATATTTGCAATAGCAATACGTGTCATCTGAACATATTTAATTCCAAGTTCATCCTAGGTAGCGCATGAGAAATGACATTCATCTCCTTTACCTCGATAACATAAAGGACAGTTCCTCATGCGTTTACCATATTTGGGTCGCCTACCTTGTGTGCCATTGTTTAACACAGCAATTCTTATTATAAAATGACATTTTTCATGGATAAAAACTTGTTATATTTCGTGAGTGCGACCTTTGGATACAGATTGTTGTACTGGTGTCAAGCAGAAAAGTAAGATAAGGAGATGGAGTGAATGCGGCTTCATTAACCATCTGATGACAGTAACATCGTGAAGCTGAAGTTTAAAATGCAATGTTTTTTTGTCGTAGTCACAAAACAGAGGCGCTGAAATGATATTCATACCATACGACTTTTTATTCATATAACAACGGGTGGGTTCATTCCACGAGAAGGGTATTTGTGAATACTAGAATACCGAACCCCCTTCAGCTTGCTACTGGCTGATAGCGGTCAATATGAGGCCTGCTGAAACCTTTGTCCTGTCCGGTCCTGCATGGTCATTGATCGTTGTGTTGTCAGCTGAATTTGTGGTAGGTGCCTACTGTATTGGCCGTGTGATGTTGTTGTGCCATTACTTATAACGCCACTCACTCATACAATCATGTTGTATTTTAAACAATATATCAACACCCATATCCATAATGCACTCAACATTACAAGGTAATTTTCACCAGTTTTAATGATGAGTTGGGGAGTCTGGTTTTACGCCCCCTTCTAGCAATATTCCAGCAATATCACGGCGGGGTCACCTCAAATGGGTTTCTCACAATGTACCCATGTGGGGAATCGAACCATTCAGCGTGATGAGCGAATGCTTCAACCACCAGGCTATCCCACCGCCCCTTACCGTGTCGTTAAACTGCTGATGATTCAGAATTCATGTAAGTGGAATATATCTGAGTATTTATGCTAAGATCGTATGTTGATGATATGACAAACTGACATAAAGGATTGTGGTGAATATATTTATATACATCACAGAATACTTTAATTCCTAAATTCAACATTCAAAGCATAGGCGCCCGACTCTGATATATTATAAGCATGATCTATACATAAGATATAAGACTTATATCTTATATATAGATCTATAGGTCATGCTTATAGAAATATATCAGAGTCGGGCGCCTATGATTCAAAGCGATCACTCTACCGACAAACACGCGATGGGGTAATGGGATGAGAGTTATTCGCCCTTGTCATGGTAAGCTAAACGTGTTGCGTTTTGTAAACATGCAGTTTTGGGTTTAGTCTCTTTGCATTTTGTGTGTAATTATTATAATAACTACGATAAACACAACATTAACGAGCTCCCAAATAAATAGGTAGATGGCGACATCACAAGAAGCGGCGTATAACTGATAGTTGTTAAAGATTAAATTAAATATCCCGAAATAACAGACCCTTGTCATTCCTGGGCTTACGAGGAGCAAGTATAAACACACACTACACGCTGTTTGTTCAAAAGAAGTTATGAAGTTTGCCTTTAGATCTACGGCAATGTTTAATAAAGACTATTTGCAACCTATTCACATGAAAAAGGTTAGTCTGTCTCACCTTTTCCCTTCTGTCCAGTCCTTTCTGCAATCTAAAGCCCTCAATGAATCAAGTCTACATTTCGTCCTCATCCATCTCAGGGGGGGGAGCTTTTCAATTCAAATGGGAGTTATTGTTGCTATCAAAAGTTTAGATATATTCGGACACTAAGCGTTAATCTACAGAAAGGGCTGTGGTGAGGTGTCTGCAACCTAAGGTGAGGTGAATTTCAGAAATTGGGTTTAACGTCGTGCTTAAGAAAAATTCGCTTATGATGACGTGTATGTGTATGTGCGGCTGCTTGTACTAGCCCAGACTGAAGCTGGTTTTATAGTGCTAGCTCACTGAGATACCATGCCACAGTTAAGCATGAATACCCAATCAGACCCATTATACTCAAAGCCGACCAGTCCTTGTGGTACCCATTAATGCCGAGCACCAGACAGGAACCAACAAGTACCATATTTTAATGTCTTTAGGTATGATGTGGCCGGGGATCGAACCCACGGCCTTCCGATCTCCGGGCGGACGCTCTAACCACTACACCACGGAGGCGGTCCCTGCAACCTAAGCATCAATGGTATGTCCTCAGACACACAGACCACCCTGAAGGTAAAGGGGCATGAGACTTAGCCAAACAGGAGTCACAGGAATTTCATTGAGTGGCATTTTAGAAGTGGGAAGTACAATATAGACATTTTCATACAGATTCTTGTACCGTTCTCAAGCAGGAACATCAAATACTTATTCATTGAACAGCCATTCTTTTGTCTGTATTTTGACATTTTGTTATGGAGATGGGAATTCTGGTTTAAACAGGTCAACTGTACCTCGATCATGGATATCTGAGCCTTGTAACGCTGAAAGGGTTGTTGTTGTAAGCACACACACTACAGATATATACCCTACAAACCTTTTTGCATATAAGTATGAACAGTACCCTAACCAAAATCAAAATATAGAACACCAGGCCGGTATCTAAAACCGCAGTCATGAATCCTGATTCCTCAAACTGAAACTGGTTGTAGTTCCAGCCTTCAAACTGAAACTGGTTGTAGTTCTAGCCTTCAAACTTAAACTGGTTGTAGTTCCAGTCTTTAAACTGAAACTGGTTGTAGTTCCAGCCTTCAAACTGAAACTGGTTGTAGTTCCAGCCTTCAAACTGAAACTGGTTGTAGTTCCAGTCTTCCTCGCTGAACCTGACAGTATGATGAGTTTTGTTTAGTACATACAGCACTGAGTGTACTTGTCGCAAAGATTAAAAGATATTTACCAGCAAAAATGGTTGGAAGCAATTTCAGTAGCTACAAAATGTAATTATTACTCAATCTTTAAAACACACATTTATACTGAACTTTATTATCATGTGCTAATGTTACGAAATATAGAATAGCTTTAGCTCGTTTCCGTTGTTCATCTCATGATTTATTAATTGAAAAAGGTAGGTTTATGAATATCAAAAGAGAAGATAGAATCTGTAGAGGTAATAATACTGTTATGGAAGACGAATATCATTTTCCTCTCTGCGGCATGGTATCTCAGTGGGCTAGCACTATAAAACCAGCTTAAGTCTGGGCTAGTACAAGCAGCCGCACATACACATACTCATTCATGCATGTCGTCATATGAGCGAAATATTCTCAAGCACGACGTAAAAACCAATTTCACCTCACCTCACCTCATTTTCCTCTACTTTGCCCAACATATAACACTATACGTAAAATATATATTAAAGAACTCTATTTTGTCCATCCATCAAGCGATAAATTTTCTTCTCTATTGAATTCTTCAAATGAATTTGTAATTAAAAATGTTGCAGTTTTCATTTATCAAGCCATGTTGATTAGAAAATTGTATATATGAAATGTACTATAGGCCTGTGGCCTCCTCAGTACTGAAAAAAGATATAAAAAAAGATATGAGTGTACTTGTCTTTGTATAACATCCAGAATTGAACCTGGGTCTTCGGCATGGTAAGGGAACACTTTAATCACTAGGCTACCCATGGCTCAGTCCACGAATGAATGAACCATTTTAGAACATAAGATACCCCAGCTTCCCAGCATCAGATCTGTTTCATACAGATCGGCTTTATATCACTATAGATACTTTCAAAATATTGCTTTTAAATACAACTATTTTCTTCCTTTCCTTGTTTTCAGATTCTTTGAATACAAACTTCATGCATTCAAGCAGAGGAACATGTTCTGTGCCCCCAATAACATTCGCTGACTCTGTGGCCCGGTGTTGCTATGGTTACTATAAAAGTCTGCCCAAAACTGGAAAACCAGCCATGGGACGAGAGTGGACATTGTTGTCTGCTGTTGTCATGACTACACAAACAGGTACATGGGGACATAGTGACCTCAGTTAGCCTTCCAGCTTGGAGGAGGTCTCAGCAGCCTCTGTTTGATATAAGAGGCAGCTGACCCGTGAAGATCCGGGATATAGGTCTTCAGTAACCCATGCTTGTCGTAAGAGGCGACTAACAGGATCGGGTGGTCAGGCTCGCTGACTTGGTTGACACATGTCATCGGTTCCCAATTGCGCAGATTGATGCTCATGCTGTTGATCACTGGATTGTCTGGTCCAGACTCGATTATTTACAGACCGCCGCCATATAGCTGGAATATTGCTGAGTGCGGCGTAAAACTAAACTCACTCACTCACTATAAGAGGCAGCTAGATGGATCAATAATGAAGCAATTCTATTTTTATTATTGTTATTATTATTTTATTACTGATCAAACAATTAAGTGTATTAGGTTGTCAGATTTGGTGACTTATTTCATATCATGTCATCATGCTCTATATTGATGCTCATTAATCAACCCCTGGTTTGTGTGGTATGGATTACAGACATATCTCCGTATAGCTGGAATATTGTGGAGTGTGACTTTACATCTAAGGTGAGGTGAGGTGAAAGTGGGTTTAATGTCGTGTTTAAGAATATTTCGCTCATATGACGACGTGCATGCGTGTGTATGTGTATGTGCGGCTGCTTGTACTAGCCCAGACTTAAGCTGGTTTTATAGTGCTAGCCCACTGAGATATCACGCCGCAGTGAAGCATGAATACCCCACTCAGACACATTATACTGACTCCGAGCCGACCAGTCCTTGTTGTACCCACTAATGCCGAGCGCTGGGCAGGGACCAACAAGTACCATATTTTAACGCTCTTTTGGTAGAGTGGGATCGAACCAATCTCGGGGGCGGACTCTCTAACCACTACACCACGGAGGCGGTCTCACATCTAACGAAGCATACCATGACTTGTATCAAAACAAGTTTATGTTTGTAGGCAGCTAAAAGTGATGCAGATTATAGATGTAATAGATCATTCTGTAACTCTCCTTCAAAATGGCCGAAATTAGACTGAAGTTATACAAACACACATTTAACCTCATTATGTGTCTCGTACTTGCAGTTATGGCATATCAGTACATACATTATCGTACATGTGAGATGAAAGGCAAAATGGCAAAACTGATCGATGATCAGAAAACTGTAGATGGGAAGAAATATTATTGATTATCGATATGAAAATTGTTTCATTGATAATATCCTACATTACTATTGTGATGCAATAAAGTTTTAGTTTTCACGTCCAATACACAAAGTAAAGTTTTATTCAAGGGCCATTTTAAAATTATGTTTACGATAGTAAGTCATGCATAAGCGTGTCACTGATCTTCTTGAGACATAAAATACATATGTGTTGATTTCTTTCAGACACTCTGCATTTTCTTCCAAGTTACTTCTCTGATATTAATTAATATTAGTGTTTCTCCTTGGAATTTTTAGCAGGGAGCCGCACCCTGCCCTTTGTGTTTGGCATCCTGCCCTTCTTTTTAAAACAATAACTGATTTTAACTCTTTGTGGTTTTTAGATTCTATTTCATGTTGAAGTTAAATGAAATAACTGTGCTGTTTGAGTCTTTAAGAATCATATGCATGGATAACATAATACCGTCATTGCATGCCGCTATTGGAATAAGGGTGCCCCCCTTTTAAATTCTGTTTCCCTTCCTTTTTTGGATCCTTGGGGAAACACTAATTTAACTGATTGATATTTACAGGTTGTTTGATTTCATTTGAGACCAATGAATTGCTCACTAACACAAAATCTAATAATTGCATCAAAACCAAAATCAAAGGGACAATAGTGAACTTTTATCGATCTCAGTTCTTTCTTATGTTTTGTCCATGATTATTTCTCTTATAACGTGAAGAGGGGGCGGTGGGGTAGCCTAGTGGTTAAAGCGTGCAGCTCATCACGCTGAAGACCCGGGTTCGATTCCCCACATGAGCTCAATGTGTGAAACCCATTTCTGGTGTCCACCGCAGTGATATTGCTGGAATATTGCTGGAATATTGCTTAAAGTGACGTAAAACTAAACTCACTCACTCACTATAATGTGAAGAGCATTTGTGCATGTGTGGACCAGTGTGGAACAATGTCAGTTTTACTGTGCTAGCCCTTGGAAATGACAAGACACAGTTTATCGTGGTTGCGCTAAAAAGTGTAATGAGCCAACCAGTCCTTGTTATCTCCCCTTAATTCCAAATACCAGCCAGGGTAACAACCAGTACCATCTTTTGGTATGGAGCAGCCGGGGATATAAACATCAGACCTGGGCCCCGTTTCACAAAGCTCTCGTAAGCCTAAGATCTCGTAACTTTTCTCGTAGCTTTCGTATATCCTGTACTGTAACATAGACTTACAACAGTCGTAGCACTACGATAGCTTTGTGAAACAAGCCCTGTTTGTCTATCCATTAGGTTATGCAGGAGGTATATTATGCTCCAACATGACTTCATTAAACAGATCAGCCATTGTCTTGTCAGGTAAAGTGCATCAGTGGCGGCTCCTTCTGTGTGACTGGACATACATACACATACTTCTAGTGAAGAACACGGCCTTGGGTCACCGAGATTGGTGTATATAATGCCACTGTGATAAATCAGGAATGTTGCCAGCTCTTACATAAAACAACATTCATTCGTTACTTAATTGCTGCATTGTTTTTTTATTATTCTCCCATTTATGACTATATATGTATATGTTCTATATCATGGATACATGTGCTTGCTAACTGTTTTTAACTGCTGTTTTATTTGTTCAAAATGCGATATGTTACAGGCCTGCAATTTTCATTCATTCATTCATTCATTCATTCATTCATTCATTCATTCACTTTTTGTATCAGAGACTGGCTTCAGTATGAAAGTGGTTGCCATGGGAACAGGTTCCAAATGTATTGGGAAGTCCAAGATGAGTAAGGCAGGTAAGAATCTCCATGACAAGACCACCATTAAACAATATGGTTGTTTCTGACAATGGATTAGGTCTGTAGGTTGGGATTTTAATTTTATTGGTATTATCTAATGATTTTCATTTTTTTTTTTGTTATTACAAACTTGGCAGTAAGAACCAGTGATTTTTAGATTGTGATTTAAACATATTTTATTCACAAATGTGAAAGGGATTGGGGACAAGTTATCCAACTCCGCTCCCTAAGAACCAGTGACAGGGTTGGCATTGAGAAAAGGCTTGTATTATTGTTGTCTCATTGTGTTCACTTGTTCTTTGTGAATTGTTTTATTTCATATCAATGTTGAGGTTAAAGCATGAACCCAAAGTACACGTAAACTGCCTCTGAAGTATGTTTGGGAGAAACTGGAAGAATTGAATTGTCATTTTAAAAAAACAGATGCTTGTGTCAAAATATATAAATGTTTAGGTGCTTTTGATCCAATACAGTAGTGAATGTGTCATTATAGCCATAAGTCCCGATGATACCGTTGGAAATATCTGTTGTATTTGAAGATGGTTGTTTTTCAGATTATCAGACAAACTTTTACTTGTAAATGCTTTGAAGCCATTTTGAAATTTAGGGTATGCTTACTCATCTGGGCCTAGATTTTCGAAGCTCTCTTAGCACTAAGATAGTTTTAAGTGCCATTCATTAACATTAACGTACGACTATCTTAGCGTTAAGAGAGCTTCGAAAATCTAGGCCCTGTAAAACAAGAGAAGGATTTTGGTCCATTTTGCCTTTTGCCATGCTACCGTCATTTTGACATTTCACCATACTTAATTGCGGTGATATTATTGGTAACCAGCCTGCAGACTTGTCTCCTTATTTTGATATTTCCTTCACAGGTGATATTGTAAATGACAGCCACGCTGAAATCATTGCAAGGAGATCGTTTCTGTGGTACGTACTGACCCTTGTGTGTATTACATGTTGAACCATCAGAATTTGTGTACCATGCGTTGATTCAATGGTGTTGGTGAATGCAACAACAGACAGCATGGTGAATGCAACAACAGACAGCATGCTGATGGCATAGATTAACTGACATGAAAATTATGTCATGGTTTAAAGAATCTTAACAATTCAGACACAATGTTTGATCTTTGAATGGTCAACAAAAAATTTAGTTCCATGTTTCCATGGTTGTTGGTACAGTAATCACCTTGGGACCTGCATTAACATATCCCAACATCATTATGGAGAGAGCCATGGACTTGAATTATATTACTCAAAAGAACGCAAAGACTTTTTACTCGATTCATTCATTTTACTATAGATCTTTGTCATTCAGGTGAGTAGAAGGGAAAGTCAAAGGAAAATCACTAGACCTTCACTGAGTCTGCAGATTGATCCAAAATAATTATCTTGTTGGCACACATGTAATTTTAAGGGCATATATACTCATGCCAATAATGGTTGTCACCCCCCCACCCCAACCCCAAACACACCTCACACCCCTCACCCCACACCCCTCTCCAAATAAAAAAATTGAAGGGGGTGACAACCATTATTGGCATGAGTATATTTATCTTCTTATCCACATATATATTTGTCTGTGTTATACAGCTACCTGTATGAGGACCTGAGGGTGGTGTATGGCGGTGGCCAAGGTGAGGTGTTCCTACCTCCTCAAGATGGCTGTCATCGATGCAAGGTGAAGCCAGGAGTCCACTTCCATTTCTTCACCAGCCAGACGCCGTGTAAGTATTATTGTAGGATTATCATAGGAAGTGCTGCTTAAAAACATTGATACCAGAAATATTGTCAATTAGAAGAGTGAGTGAGTTTGATTTTACGCCACTTTTAGCGATATTCCAGCAATATCATGGCGGGGACACCAGAATTGAGCTTCACACATTGTACCCATGTGGGGAATAGAACCCGCCTTGCGAACGCTTTAACCTTTAAATTCTATCATCAATAATATCGTACATATACTATAGCTATGAAATTAAGTTTTAATTGACTCAGACAATTCACAAAGTTACGCCTTTAATCATGGACTATACTTCTAACTATGTTCAGAACATGGTTTTGTTAGTAATCCATGCATAAATATGTGACCACTCCCTACTGATGTGAAATATTTTGATTTCTTTCAGACTTTTATTTTTCATTTTTGCTCAGTGCTACTTCTCCAATATGAAGATTATGAACAGCTTTTATTACGATATTATTACATCTCACATTCTCCAGAATATCAATATGGGATCTATGCAAATTGTGACTCACAACTCATATTTGTGCATTCATTTGTTACGTATGAAGTTTACACAGATCAAAATTGTATACTCCACTGTGTGAAACTGCAACAGCTGTCAAACACTCTTGAGTCAACCTTTGATGTGTCAAATGAAGAAAAATCTCAGTCCCATCATTTTGCTTTTGTGTCTTATCTTGGAAATGGATAACTCAAAGTATTTATGTAGCTCCTTCAACTGCAACACACTAGTGTTTGACTGTGTTAGATCCGTGAAAGAAGAACAACTTCGTATTGAAAATAGCTATTTATTCGGTACAGGCTTACAACTTCCAAAGATACGTGTGCACACAGCTGCAACGTCTACCAACTGACCCCTCGCAACTGCCTAGATACCTAACGGTGCACACCACATAACAATACGTAATAATCATGGTTACATCACAAATAGAACACAATTATCTTACCTCAGCATTCGGAGACCGCCATGTTGGATATAAATCTCAATTACAAGATTTCATGAGACTAGCAATATCATACTTTCCAAACTACAACCTAGCAACTGTATTGCTATATCGTTGTGTTTGAACCATGATACAAATATCACTTGCAGACCCAGAGAAGGTGGTGTGACGATGCTCACCGCTAGATGTGTCAGACATTTTACATGTTAACTGCCTGCACCTTTGGCCTTTGAGTCAGCCAGACAGTTTGTGACATTGGTCACTTAGTGCAACCCTCCTTCAACAAAGTACTCAATCTGCCTTTGAATATCCCGATGTCATGTACTGATGGATGGTTGTATATCACCTTTCATTTCAGGCGGCGATGCTTCCATTTTCCCCAGACCAGACGAAGGAGCTGACATGATGGATGTGATGGGCTCAGTAGCTGCTGACAGTTCTCTCGTTCCGAAGTCTGGAGGAGACAGGAAGAGGAAGTACTCCTCTACAGAAGCCTCCCAGGATGCAGCACCCAAGATGGCTAAACCTGTCACTGTTACAGATGTACCCTGTCTGGAGGAGGAGGACAGCAAGGAGCCTGGTTCAGGTTCAGGACAAGATCTGCCTGGCTCTACACCAGGACTTAGAGGAATGGTGGGTGGAGTAGAGGAGGGGTGTTGTCAAAGTACAGACTGTTCTGGCACTGCTGAAGATGGTCATGTGGAGAAATTAGAAAGTAACACAAGAAACAAAGTTCACAGACAAGAAATGATAGAGATGATTATTCCTGGTGGAAAGGAGACAGGTGTCCTTGTTGATGACATATTCAAGAAAAAGGCCGGTTGTCTCGATGGAGAGGTTTTCCAAAAGGAATTAAGTGATTTCAGTGGGAAACTGTTTCGAACAACAGAAGCTGATCTCTGTGGAAAGGTATTACAAACTGAAGCAAGCGATCATGTGGGGAAGGTATTCCAGAAAAAGGCAGGTTATCTTGATGGAAAGGTTTTCCAAAAGGAATTAAGTGATTTCAGTGGGAAACTGTTTCGAACAACAGAAGCTGATCTCTGTGGAAAGGTATTACAAAATGAAGGAAGAGATCATGTTGGGAAGGTATTCCAGAAGGAGGCAGGTGATCTTAGTGAAAGGATATTGCAAAAAGAAGGAGGTGATTACAATGGGAAAATATTACAGGGAGATCACTGTGAACTAAATATCCACAATGCTGTGACTGAAGGAAAGAGGATAGCAGAGGAGAAACGTGTTTGTGCCAGCAATGGTGGTGAAGTATGTGGTACCTCTGACAGATGTGTTCCTCGGGGTGATATATTCCGTACTGGTGCCAAGTGTGTCCCTGGGGGTGAGCAGGACCCGCTAGGGTCAGGATCAGACTACCACGTTGTGGGATTGCTAAGGATCAAGCCAGGCCGGGGGGAGAGGACAATCTCCATGTCATGTAGTGATAAGATGGCACGCTGGAACATCCTTGGTGTGCAGGGGGCGCTGCTCAGCCTCTTTCTGGTGGAGCCACTTTATCTGAGCACTGTGGTTGTCGGGAGGTATGTCATTTGTGGAATATTTTCAACATGAATCAGTCATTCAATTAACTTGTCATGAACAAAGTGAAGTTATTGCATAATAACAGGTTCAAACAATAAACAAGACTGGTGGCACAGTACTGAACCCACGCTTGAGTAATCTCGAAAACATCATTATTTAGTGTGGGGGGCGATGGGGTAGCCTAGTGGTTAAAGCGTTGGTTCAATTGCCCACATGGGTACAATGCGTGAAGCCCATTTCTTGTGTCCCCAGCCGTGATATTGCTGGAATATTGCTAAAAGCGGCGTTAAGCCAAACTCAGTAGGTCAGTCTTGAGACATAAAATACATATGTGTTAATTTCTTTCAGACACTCTGCATTTTCTTCCAAGTTACTTCTCTGATATTAATTAATATTAGTGTTTCTCCTTGGAATTTTTAGCAGGGAGCCGCACCCTGCCCTTTGTGTTTGGCATCCTGCCCTTCTTTTTAATACAATAACTGATTTTAACACTTTGTGTTTTTTAGATTCTATTTCATGTTGAAGTTAAATGAAATAACTGTGCTGTTTGAGTCTTTAAGAATCATATGCATGGATAACATAAGGGTGCCCCTTTTAAATTCTGTCTCCCTTCCATTTTTGGATCCATGGGGAAACACTAATTTAACTGATTGATATTTACAGTCCGTTTGATTTCATTTGAAACCAATGAATTGCTCACTAACACAAAATCTAATAATTGCATCAAAACCAAAATCAAAGGGACAATAGTGAACTTTTATCGATCTCAGTTCTTTCTTATGTTTTGTCCATGATTATTTCTCTCACTCACTCACTCACTCACTCACTCACTCACTCACTCACTCACTCACTCACTCACTCACTCACTCACTCACTCACTACTCACTCACTCACTCACTCACTCACTCACTCACTCACTCACTCACTCACTCACTCACTCATGTTCAGGATGCCATTGTACAAAGTCATCTTACTTCCTAAAGTGATCATAACTCCCATACCTTAATATAGACTTATGACAGAGAGCTAAGGTCACATTTCACAATGGCACCCTGGTTTTAATCTTTTCCTCCAGTGGTCCGTACAGCCATGCTGCTATGAGAAGAGCCCTGATTGAGCGTGTAGAGGAGGTGAGAGAACTGCCCCAGGGGTACCGTGTACACCACCCCCTCCTGCTGCAGTCCACCCTCAGGTTCCCAGATGGCAGGGAGGCACAGCGGGCACAGGCTGTACAACATAAACTGGTACCTTCATCAGCAGGTCAGTGTACAGAACTGTTGTAAATTAAAGTGAGGGAGAGAGTAGGTTTTATGCAACTTTTAGCAATATTCCAGTTGCTTTTTGTGTTCTGTTTACATTTTTCTTTACAGTAACTGGCATTTGATTCAGTGAGTGAGTGAGTGAGTTGGGTTTTATGCTGCTTTAGCAATATTCCAGCAATATCACTTCGGGGGTCACCAGAAATGGGGTTCAAACATTGTACCCATGCTGGGAATCGAACCTGGTTCTTCGGTGTGACAAGCGAATGCTTTAACCACTAGGCTATCCCACTTACAAAGGCCAGTTGACGAGTGTAATATGAACATCAGATCAACAGCCTACCATGAGAACTTTCTTTCCCACCTACTGACCAGAACCTTTCACAGTTGGTAAAGAACGAAACAACACTAATGTGTTATCATGATTATTAAATTGAAACTGTCTTGTTGTCTTTGGCAGCTATTATATGCTATGAATATGGAGGTGTCCGACGTGTGGATGTCAGCGTGAACGGCAAGAAACAGGGCATCACTTCCAAGAACTTACACAAGCCTCAAGCCAGGTTAGATGAGTGAGTGGGTTAGTGAGTTGGTAGAGTGAGTGAGTGTGTGAGTGAGTAGGTGTGTGTGTGTGGATGGGTATGTTTCACCAATATTATGTTATAGTTCTGAGGTTTGGGGTTTCATGGAGGCACATGCATTTGAGAAGGTTCATTTAAAGTTTATCAAGTATATGTTAAGAGTTAAAACGCCTACTCCTTCTGCTGTTGTGTATGGTGAAGTTGGTGCTCAACCATTGGCTACAGTTCGATTGACAAGGATAGTTAATACTGGTTGAAGATATTGGATAGCAACGAGGACCGTTATATTAAGGTTGTTTATAATGCTTTATTATAGATGTCCAGATCTCATCCTGATAGAGTAAGCTGGGTGACTTGACTTAGGGATGCCCTAAATAAGTATGGATTTGGATATCTGTGGAATGCCCAAGTAGTTGTCAATAAACTAGGATTTCTTAGATCATTTAGTCTCAGAATTAGGGATATATATGAGCAAATGTGGAGACATAATTTAGCCTCATTAAGTGACACAAGGTTGTACTTGCATATTAAGCAAAGTCTATGTTTTGAAAGATACTTGGTAGATATTAATAGTTAAATATAGAACTGCATTAAGTAAATTTAGATTATGTTCTCACAATTTAATGGTTGAAAAAGGTAGATGGTTTACTCCCAAATTACAATTCAATGAAAGATTATTTCCATTTTTTTTGTAAGGATGTTGAAGATGATGTTGTGATGGTTTGTCCGAAAAATGAACTTTATAGAAAAAGATATATATCAATGTCTGTTTACAAATATCCAAGTATGGCTAAATTTGTTGAGCTGTTGCAAGACGAACGTGCTGGAGTTATACTTAATTTGTCAAAGTTTGTGTATCATGTATTTAAGGAGAAAGCAACAGTTTAATTTGTTTGAATCTTTATGTATCTTACAGGCCTGCCACCATGTGGGAAGGGGGGTGGGCGGGGTCAGAAATGTTATGCACATGTGCACATGTTAAATTATTATTGAATGTAAAAGCGATTGACCTCTGGTCTAAATTAACATTCATCATTGGTGAGTGAGTGAGTGAGTGAGTGAGTGATGTACATCATCTTCAGTAACCAGTGGATATCTCCTTTTCATGAAATAATTATTCTTGTTTTAAAACCCTGGTGTGCTAATATTCGAAAACAATCACACTTGAATTAAACAATTTGAATAAAAAATCCTAGATTTGCCCTAAATATATTTCGAGATTTGTCAGCACCATACTTGTTGGTTTCATCAAAGAGCCAAAAGTTGAAGACATACATTGCTTCAGCCTCCCCTTCCCCATGAAACCAACATGCCATGATGTTACTACATACTATTCAGTGAGGAATTAAATCCAAGCCAGGAACTGACCGACACTGTTCCCCCTGTGCAGGTGCTCTGTCTGCATCAAGGAGATGTTCAGGAGGTTCCAGTCTCTGGTGGCAGCATCTTGCATCATCTCATCACTGCCATGTTTCAAGTAAGTCAAACAATGTATCTCATGTCTGTACCTATTGTACCTGTGAAGGTCTGGGTTAGAATATTGATCTTCAGTAACCCATGCTTGTCGTAAGAGGCAACTAACGGGATCAGGTGGTCAGGCTCGCTGCCTTTGTTGACACATGTCATCGGTTCCCAGTTGCGCAGATCGATGCTCATGCTGTTGATCACTGGATATTCTGGTCCAGACTCGATTGTTTACAGACCGCCGCCATATAGCTGGAATATTGGTGAGTGTGGCATAAAACTAAACTCACTCACTCATTGTACCTATTGTTCACCAGTAAGGCCAGGTGTTAAAGTAGATTTATCTTTGGCCTGTAGGGGTGGTTAAAGAATGGTTAAAGAATTTGACCATCATGCCGAGGATCAGGGTTCGATTCCCCTACAATGTGTGAAGCCCATTGCTGGTGTCCCTCGCAATGATATTCCTGTAATATTGCTATAAGCGGCATAAAACTAAAACTCACTCACTCAATCTTTGACCTGTATGTTTCTATTTCTAATCTGTTATAATGGGTTTTTATGATTACCCCAAAATGGTTCCTTTACAAGTAAAATGACTGGCCTCTCCTGATTGATATTACTTGATACACAATGACCCCCAAGTGGAGCACACCATTGAGCTAATTTAGCAGCCTTAGAAATCTCACAGTTTCAGCATCATATGCCTATTACACCAGAATGGCATGAGACCATAAACACTGCCTCTGAAATTCACCACAGTCTCTTAGCCTCAAACTACAACACTTCACTGGGGTCGAGTGAAACTCCAAGTTCACAAGTCACATTAAAGGGAAATAACTCTGCATTAGTTTTGTTACAAACTGGAAATGAATAAAACAGAAAATGTATACATTTATGCCTTGTTCAAGCAGGAATAGTAACAAACTTTATTCAGAGAAATAAAGTTTGCACCTCAGGGCTATTCTTAAAGATAATATTGACCAAAAGGACATTAAAGACTTATTTCAGTGCTTGAATTCTTGACCACTGGTATGGCTGCTCCTAACCTGGGTCCATATCCACAAAACATTCGTAACGCAGGGTTTTACATGACGCGTGATTCCTGCGTATTTGACGCAACAATTTTTTAAACGACTCTCAAAATATTATCATACGAGTCAAGCTTGACACAAGTTTTATGGGTGGCCCTCACAATTCAGTTCAATAAAATTGATTTGATAAGCTAAAAAAAGGATATTTTTCGATGATAGTTTGACTTTTACAGAGCTGTCAGATTGTTCCAGAGAACTCAGAGGAGACAGTAATCCTGGCTGTTTGAACTGAACAATGCTGTAGTTTCGTTTGGTGGTGTGACATACACAGTTACATACTGAGAATGATTAACATCAAGAAATATTAAAATTTTCATGACTCCCAAATATTGAAAATGACTCCCAAAAATTAATATCGGAGTCGACATGACTCCCATTTTTAAAAGTCTGTGTAAAACCCTGTCGTAACGTTACGACCTGTTGTAACTCTATATTTTATCGTAGGATAACGAATGTTATAGCACTACAAACGCTTTGTGGATCATGACCCTGATTGATTACACTTTACAGCCTTCTTTGAGACTTTCACTGACTGTATTACAGAGACGTGTCATGGTCCAAGCTCACCTACCACCAGTGCAAGTCCATGGCCACCGACTACAACCATGCATGGGCATGTCTCAGACAACAGCAGTTTCCAACATGGCTATGGAAAGAAAGGACATATCTTGACTTTTCAGCATCAGACGCTAGCGTTTGATATGAGCTGATTGTGTAGACCTTCTCCTTCCTGGCTTTCATGGATTATGGGGAGAGCTGGACCCCTATAACCTGTACTTGTGTAATTGGTGACTACACTGGATCTAGTGGTATCTCTGTGACGTGATCAACTGGTGCTTCGTCATACTGTTGTATCTGGCCAATCACTGGTTTGTCTGACTGGTTTGTATTTACAGGTTGTTGTGATGTAGCTGGAATATTGCTGTCTGGGGCATCAAACAACATTCATTCACTCACTATGTGATTAAAATAATGTCTATGGTACTATTTTTGGAAGTTCCTTGTTTTTATATCTGTTATGTTTTTTTGTGAAGTGAGAAATAGTACTGATGCCATTTCATTTTAATGGATGCTAATGGAGTATGCTCCCATAATTCACACGAGAGTAGGCCTTGTTAAGAACTGAAGAAACACGAACATATACTGAAGTCAATTCACAAATTGATAAATATATCTATCAACAATAATACCTTCAGAGACTGCATATTTTACCAGTGTACGAAATAAGGCCCGTCCGACCGCCCGAGACGGTCTAGATTTCTGATGGACGGTCTAAATTTACAGCTAGCCAGCCCGATGGTCTGGTAAAAAATTTAGATGTTCCATACATCTGAGTAAATTCACCATATTTGGTCTGGTTAAAACCATTTTGGGCTGGTTACGGTTTGAAGTTACCAGCCCTGATGTCTGGCTGGATTTTTGGCTTATTTCACACACTGATTTTACCTTTAACAGAAAAAACAAGAATAAGATACACAATCATTTTAGGAAACTTTATTCTATAAATCTGGTTAAAATTTGCATATCCAAAATATGGCAAAAATGTCAAAATTTACAGTCGGATGCTACAATAAATAATTACAGTCATCATTACCTCAGACCAGGATGTCATGAAGAGACGCAGCCATTTGCAAAATCATCCAAGATTCTTTTTCAGAAAAATAATCACATATAACAATGATTTAACATGTACTGAAGGTGACACTGTCACAGATTTAGTAACCAGTAATATCACACAGAGGGCAACTCATAACGTTTAGATTTCCAGGATATGTGGGACCATATTGCAAATGGCCGACTTTTTTAACTGCCGTTACCGATGTGATGACGTGTTATGGGAATAATGACTCACTACTTAAAATATGTGTAATCAGCAACATAACAGTGTAATATAAGGGGCATTAGTTTTAAGTCCAAAAGGAATACAAATATTACATCAGATGGGTATTTTAAAATTTCCTAAAAGGGATGTCGTCTCCTTGAGCTATGGTAACATGAGCACATTCTATATTTTGATATTGTCATATATTGTGAACCTTGCTGTTTATCAACTTCTTTTGTTATTGCTCGTTATCACAACTGGTTATGCTATACAATCTCAACTGTAACATGAATGCACTCACAACAATAAATATAACAAAGCATACACCCTCAGTAGGCTGGTGGTTGAGATCAATGCTTTTTTTCTGCACGTCACATATTCAGCAGCAGATCACTTCAGGTACCAAACTGTGGCTACTATAGAAGCAGACCACTCCATATACCAAACTGTGGCTACTGTTGTGGCAGACCACTCCAGATACCAAACTGTGGCTACTACTGCAGCAGACCATTCTGCTACCAAACTGTGGCTATTGTTGTAGCAGACCACTCCAGACAGCAGACCACGAATACTCTTGCAGCAGATCAGTCCCATGCCAACTTGTGGCTACACATACAGCAGACCACTCCAGATACCAAACTGTGGCTACTGTTGTAGCAGACCACTCCAGACAGCAGACCACGAATACTCTTCCAGCAGATCAGTCCCGTGCCAACTTGTGGCTACACATACAGCAGACCACTCCAGATACCAAACTGTGGCTACTATTGCAGCAGACCAACGGACCACGAATACTCTTGCAGCAGATCAGTCCCGTGCCAACTTGTGGCTACACATACAGCAGACCACTCCACATACCGAAGCGACTCTTGCAGCCAACCACTCCAGAAACCACACTGTTGCTACACATTCAGCAGATGCCAGCTCTGCCTGTTTTCTCTAACATTTAGGTACGTGCATAAACTAGTTACTATGGTAACATCATCACTGGCCATTAGATTGAGCTTCCATGACAACAGTTTTTCAGGCACACTATGGCTACACTGTGCATAAGAACATCTAAATGTTATAACAAAATGGTGAATACAAGCATGCTGAGGGTATGCAATAAAAACCCCATTGCTTTGGGATATCAATCAGCACCAGTCTCTCAGGCAAAGTTTACGGTTCCAGATTTGAAGGCACCATATATATCTAATATATTTTCAAAAAACATACCAAGTCAGCTAACTGTAATACTTTCTCTTGCTAGAACACTATATGTACACAGTCTCCCTTTAGGGCAGCCATTACGCTGGAGCTCCTCCATATAAGATGACTAGCGAGCCACATGCCTATTTAAGTTTCATATTGTCTGAAAGAACTGTAAATGAGCTTCATGTCACGATGTATCATTTACAGAATATCAGTGATTGGGCATGATCTGACATTCTAAATGCGTCCCAAGGGAGATGATTCTAATTAAATATTTACTTTTATTAGTACTAATGCAGACCTATTAACTCATGAATAAATACTGTGCATGTAAAGCTTAGGAGTAATGCCCAAATATGCTGACGTGTTCAACATTTTAGACAATGGTCAAAGTGACTTTCTATGTTTGACTGACTAGTGCATCAACAATATTGGTCTCACAGTTAATGAGTGTAATCATCCTTTCAGACAAGACTGCTCATTAGTAGAAGTATCTTATCCAGATTCACAATATATTGACTGTAACTGTACACATTCTTCTCAGAGCTGACAATAATCATTTTATAACAGCTTCAACACCATGTCACATGACGGTCATGCAAGAACCCGGGATATAACTCAGATATAGCATGTCCCAAATATACTGGATTTTAGGAACGTTTTCTCTGGACATATTTTCATTCATATTTATGGTTAAATGAACATAGCTACATTGGTGCATCATTGTAAAACATTCATATGTTGATTTTTGTCAATGCCATATTATAAGGGCTGTTTTTGCATTGGATGTAAGTAATTTCCGTCTGGTGCTTCATAGTTGGGACATGTGTTATTGCAATCAATGGATATAATTCATGATTCACATTAAAATGGATTATTACTGCTAGCTCTGAGGGACACTTTGTCTTGATGTCAGTAATAAATAAATAAATCCACATTTATAAAGCAGGTAACTTAGAAAAATAACAAATATTTTAATGATGTAAATGCAAATGATTTCGTCTGTACACCTGTACAATTGCATTCGTTAACATTCTATTTACAATGAAATAACATCAAAAAGATCAAACTGCTAGGCTACTTGAAATCATGGTAACAAAACCTTTATAACAACACTAAATACAAATGTGTCATACATCGTCAGTAACAGAACACATCACTATTGACTATATCAAATAGCATATTGCACATACCACTGTTTGGGGCATTAAATTCCTTATAAGATATTGAAATTTGAACTTTTGTACTTTTTTTTATCGCCTATCCTACTTGGTCCATGATGAGTCCCCCCAAATAGTCTTACAAACTCTACTCGTATAAAAATAAAAAATATGTCGGCAAATGAAATCCAACAAGATGTCATCAGATCAGCAAGCTAGAATGTTATCACAGATTACTGGTGGATGTGTACGCTCACAATCCTGTTGTTGACTTTATACGACCTCTCTCGTTCATGTCAACATCATCACTGCCGACACTAATACGTATTCTTCTATTTTGCAAAAACAGAATTGACACCATGTTCACTGACATTTTCTTTGCCGTGTTGTAACGAATTGTTTATCAACTAAACATAAATCTTTCAATATTCTGATGTTATTTAATGAAATAATTCATGACGATGAATATCTCTGATAGATATTACGAAGCTAGCAGGTCGAATATCCTCAGGTTACGCCAGTTCAAAATCACGACTTGCATACCAAATGTACTGAATGCTGTTCATACTAACTAAGCACGTGAAGATGTCAACTAAATATTCCAGCAGTTCTTGAGACAGCTTCAAACATGTATATTTGTATTAATCATTGCATAGCAAATTCATCGTATGTGCAGTACTTGTTCGATACTGCCTCATGACTGTAAACCATGTGGACGTTGAACGAAGGTCGATAGCTATGCGACAAGGGACAAAATGGGCTGTAGTTGACTGTGAAAGACTAAGGTGACGTTAGACATGAGCGATGATCAAACTTGGTCAGATTCTCCAATCACGGCCTGCAACTCGTTGAGGTCAAGGCCACCTCTCAATGTCCGACGTACTGAAAAAGTAAACAAAAACATGAAAATAATAATAAATTATTTGTATTTAAATTTTTAACACTAACAGTTTTCCTATTTCCCATTTTAATACAAAAACACACAAATATATGTTTTGAAATAGAGCAACACAAAACCTTTTTGTAAAAATGTTCTTGTGCTGATATAATAAAGTAAAAGTATTGGTTTTGACAGAAACAAACTGGACATTGTATTTAAAAAAACACCTCAATAAAGTAGCCATAATAAGTGTCATACATATTTGTTATTGGGAAAATTAATCAAATGGAATGATCGTTACATGTAATATTAAGTATCTTGAAAATGAGATAAAACTGCAACTCTTAACGATATAGTTCATCTACACTTGTGAGCAGCTTGCAGCAGTCACTGAACACTAAGCAGCTGATACAATGGAAGCTAACACATGCAAACAAAACAACAATCTATCACATTCAGAAGACATATTAACAACTGAAAACCAGAGAAATACCTCAAAATAAATGACAGAAATAATAAAAATTAGAAATAATCCAGAACATGCAAGAATTTGTATCATGATCTTGAGAAAAGACAACCTTCAAAACTTCCCACCAGATGCATGCTGTAACGGATATTTCTCTGTAAACCCCTTAGAGTGAGTGAGTGAATAAATGTAACTTTATGCTGCCTCAGCATTATTGCAGCTAGATGCGGCTATAGCCTCTCCGCCCCATACAGACTTTGTGTGTCACTGCTGATAACCCGCACCGAGTGTATTACAGTTTAAACAGAAAAGAGTTAGTATATTGAATTGACCTCTTTCATTATCCTTGACCAGAATTGAAAAGAATAATCATCATTTGAACGCAGTCCTTTTTAAGATGGTTGCATTTCCAGTGTTTTGTTCAGCTTAACTCAAGCTCATACTTCACATTTATAATGCAACAACCTTGAAAACATTGCAGTCTTAAAGGGCAGAATCTGATTTCAGAGGAAATTTAAATTAAATTTCATATTTCAAATAAAACAATTAAATTCTCTTTTGTACGCCTGAATCTGAATTCCTGTTGCCATGGCAATTCATTGAGTGTTTTCGCTGAAGTTCAAACTCTGCCCAGTCATGGATGTTATAATAAACAGACCCCACCCTTATTTATTGCAACTTACGTACACGACCACCACTAGGTAGTGTGGATAGGGGCACTAAGCTGTTTACCCGTCAACCAGTTTTGGTTGTTTTCCCAATAAATTGTCCAGCGGGATGAAGCTAGCACAGATAACAATGACAGTGCATGTGTAAATAATTGTTCCACTGAATTGACTGGCTAAACATTTAAAAATATTCATTAAAAAAGGGATAATGTTTCAAAATCTATTTCATCACAATGAAAAATAATATATTTTTACAAATGCTGACTTTCTGCTTGAAGCAGAAAGTTCACTTTTATCAATTTTTAATTTGTTGTACAATGGATATACAAAATATAACAATTGTCTGCATAAATTTCAGAAATATGTATACAACCCAATCAGTTATTTCCTTCATGTCACCGATGTACGGATGCCGATAAATAAAGTGGAACTATGATGTAGGCCGAGACAAGACATAATGAGATACCAGAGCCCCATGTAGCCATGGAAACAATGTGCTGCGAACTATCAACGACTGATACTGACCTGGCACTATAGCAGCAACAGTAAATTATCAAAATGGTTTACAGGAAGCAACATGGAGAACCGCTACAGCAGCTAAGCCCCAAGGCATGTTGTGAGACATACACCTTCATCTTCCTCAAGTTCAACGCATGTTAATCTTACAACACTGAAACTCTTGGACTGAGTATGGTTTTATGCCACTTTTAGGAATATTCCAGCAATGTCACGGTGAGGGACACCAGACTGACTGACTGACTGAGTTTAGTTTTACGCCGCTTTTAGCAATATTCCAGCAATATCACGGCGGGGGACACCAGAAATGTGCTTAACACATTGTGCCCATGTGCGGAATCGAACCGGGTCTTTGGCGTGACGAGTGAACGCTTTAACCACTAGGCTACCCCACCGCCCCAGGGACACCAGAAATGGGCTTGACACACTGTACCCGTATGGGGAATCAAACCCGGGTCTTCAGCATGAGGAGTGGACGCTTTAACCACTAGGCTACCTCACCACCCTAATGCTCTTGAATATTATTTGTATATATATATGTGAAATGCTTGTTGCCAAATAAGAAAATCATTGCAAACATAACAGAAGACAAAATAACCCATGGAACTGTCAAATATGCAACACATGCTTACGACAAAAGAACAGAGCAATAAGAAGAAACATAAGATAGAAATGACAGTGCTGCAAGCATGACGTCCACTAGAATGTCAGTATAACATGTCTCAGTATGTTGATATAGGATGTATACCACGGTCAGCAGAGTGGTTCCTTTATTACCAGCTTGTATCATTTTGTACTGACTGCACTCAGCTTGGTACAAGGTATACCACTCAATCTATGAAAGGGATATTTCTTGATGTACAGAAATGTCCTTGTCAAAAGATGAGTCGAGTAAATTTTGACCTTATCAATTTACAGATTTGCTCAAAATCAGAGTATCATAGAGATTTTGGCAGAGATGTTTTAGAAATATGGAAAGGGTTTAAGAGGAACAATACAAATTATTTTCATTTTTGCCTATCTCTGTGAAGTTCAAGCAAGTCCATCACTTTTTAAAGGAGTAAAATAGCCACACCAGTAGCCATGATGTGTTATTCATCAGCTTCAAAGTCAATGGATATTTTGCAAAATAAGGTGACCAAAGAGAGTTGAGAAAATCTGAAATTGCTGGCCAGTTGAATTACAATCCAGTTAATACCAACAAGTGCTATACACACTGATATCAGTGTATGATGGAACTGCACCTGAGATCAGATGGGTTTTCTCTTGTTTATAAATATTGTATAAACTACACAAACTAATGATGAAGTACACAGGGGAGGGTTTGAGAGCATACTGAATGTTTATGTGAAAGAGTAAATAATGTCCAGGCTCAAATCAGCTAAACTGAAGCTGCCTATACATAACGGTTTGTTGACTGACTGACTGAGTTTGGTTTTACGCCGCTTTTAGCAATATTCCAGCAACATCACGGCGGGGGACACCAGAAATGGGCTCACACACACAACCCGGGTCTTCGGTCGAGCCAACGCTTTAACCATTAGGCTACCCCACCGACCCAACGGTTTGTTGACAGCGTATCATAGATCTCTAGATCTGCTTACATTGTTGTAACCACAACTGTAAGTTCTTTTAGACCTTACCACCAGCATTAAGTCTCTGGGGACTGAATGTACCCAGAATCCCCAAAGTGACATATCAGATATACTACTCAAAGGAAGGAAGAACACCCAATTCTTTCATATTACAATTGTCTATCTGTCACTCAAGATAGTTTTTATAATACGAAAGAAACGGGTGTGCAATAACTTCTTTTGAGTAATATATTCACATAGCATGTTAACCTGTAATGTCAGAACAGTTGGACATTTGTGTCAGTTAAGAACATGCAGTGTTCGGCTGATTATAGACTGCCGGTGATGCTTCTGATGTTATGTACGACAGTCTCAAGCCAAGATGAGTATATGAGTTGATTACAACACACAGCACTTGATTGACAGCTCCAGGTCACATGACCAGAACATTGTAACAGTGTTGCAAAACAGCTGTAATAGAAATACGCAGATAACACCAACAGAACATTCATATTCAGTATTGGTTGCAGCTGCTTGCAAACTAGCATCGCATGACTACAGCTCAATATAATACGCAGACAATGCACAACCTAAAGTTCAGGGTCCGTAATCCAGAAGAATGCCTAGAAAAGGAAAATTTCAATGTCTTTGGCAAATTTCTGATGGTGTCATTTTTGATTTTGCTACATGTTTGGTTTCAAATGAAACTTTAAGACTATCAATTTGGTCTAACATTCATCTAATTTTCAAACACAGTACGTTTATCCCCTAAATCATCACTATTTTACCTTTACACCCAATGAAATATGTTTCTTTGGGTAACAGACAACTTATTCCCTGGGTTTGACATTTAAATTATTAAACCATATGGCCATGATTCTTTTCATGGAAGGATCACTTTTTCAAGAACTCTACATAGTTAAAGGATATTCATACTTCATGGATAATGGCTTTTTGCAAAAGTATGTTTTTACACAGAAATTTCAAAATTTAGTAATCAGTCAATTCTTTTATTAAAGATCGTCTATGAACATTTTCAGTGAGACAAGAATAAAATAGGAAAGATTAAGTGTTATTTTGAAGAAAAAATGAAATATGAGTTTTAACAAGAATATCAAAAAGAACATGCATATTGTCTTAAAAACCAACATTTGTTAAGTTGAAAAGAAGCTCATCCTCAAAACACAAAATTACATTGATCCAGTTTGACTATCAGATGTCATTATCATGCATATTATCGTGTTTGTATAATAATCGCTCTGCTGTATACTACACTTATGACACCCTTCATTAGTTAAAGCCCAAATCCATGGCGACAGATTTTAAATTTGAACCAGAGACCCTGAACTTTAAGAATTAGTATATAGACTGTGAGATATTCCTGCTCGATGCTGCAACACAGACAAGTATGAGGACTGATTGTCAACCGCATTCCAAGTGAGAATGGACGGACGGACGGAGAGACATTGGGCAGTTACCTAGTAATCACTATCCCAAAAGGCTGAAAGAGGAGAGAAAGACAAGACGCCATTAGTGCAGAGAATGGTATGAGACAGATGGTCAGATTCAACTGCCAAAATCCTCAAAGCATGTGAATAATTATGTCCAACAAATATTACCTGATACAATCTGACAAACATTTCAAAAGTATTAAAATAATTCGGTGAAAAGATCAACTCATTTAAAATTTTGAAATTTGAAACAAATTTGGTCTGTTCAGTTTGTATTTAAAATAATGATAAATTAAGATGAAATCTGAAGTCTTTAAAATATCTTTAAAATAATTTGACAAAAAGATCAACTTACCTAAAATTTTGAACAATTTAAACATTTTGGTTCATTTGGACTAAATAATTACAAATAATGATGAAATCTGAAGTCATTAAAATATATTAAAAATAATTTGTAAAAAAAGATCAACAAAAATTTTGGTCCATTTGGTTTGTATTTCAAAATAATGATAAAATACTTGAAATATATTTTTAATATGAATTTTAAATCAGTTAGCATATATCTATGATGTTATTACATATATAGGTGATGCTATTGAGGATGAGTGCAGTTATGAGGCTGGTCCAGTGTTGAAGTAGGATATAGAGAGATGGGGAGACAGTGGATGTACAGAGGAACTGTCTGACTCTCACAGGAGCTAAACTGTCCCACACTATACACACATTCTTGCCTTTTACCTCACAAAACTCTCCATAGGTCATCTTCATAAACTAAGAGAAAATTACTGAATTAACACTTCAACATACTTAAAGAGTATCAGTTTTGTATAGCCAGACTAGGTCAAGACATTGTCATGACATGTAATTAGACTGACTAGGTCAAGACAATATTCCAGTGACATGTAGGGGACACCAGAAATGGCTTCAACAAGAATACTGATATACGGGTCATAGGTACATGTAATTAGAAATCCTCAACAAGAACACTGATATACATTTTCACGTAATGAATTTGCTAAATAAAGACATTTTTTGAAGGCTTAAATAAAAAAGGCGATGACAGTGAATACACCTAAACCTAATCACTTCTTTGAGTGGCATTTTAGAAGTTAGGAGGTACAATATTGACCAACTTTGTGGATAACAACTTCTTTTATTTCATGAGGTGACGTTTCAATATGTTCCTGAACGGTACAAGAATCTGTATCGAAACGTCACACGCATGAAATAATTAAGTTGTTATCCATAAAGTTTGTCAATATTATACCTAATTGGAAATTTTAACTCTAAAGGGCAAGAGAATAGTTCTTATTATTGCATCACAAGATGCACAACACTGATCCCAGATGCCATAAATACCTAGTAATGGGTTAATGCATGTTGATGAACAAACATTGAACTTAAATGTCAAATAAAAAATAAAAAGTAATTAACGATGACATGAGTAGGAATGTGAAATGTCAACACAAGTTACAGCCCATTACATGATGATGTCAACCTAGCTCACCCGGAAAAACACTGACGAAAAAATAAAACATATTTAATCTTTCAGTGTGAGTATCTCAATTAACAGCTGTCTGATTAGAATTAATATTTGTCGCAAATTCCATCTAGTACAAGCTCAAGAACTGTTATAACCAGCAGAATCAAAACATAGTGTTAAAATTAAATTTTAAATTCTGATAATTATTTATAAAAAATTTAAATGTCTACTCTGGGGGATGAGGAATGGTAGTATTGTGGGACTGGTCAGTAGGGGCGTCGGGATAACAAGCGGGATGACAATTAACCTGCTTGCTCCTTAATTTGTTTAGGATGTGTAACAGAATAAGCGACAAACGAAATCAATGAACCTTTTCGATATGTTTCCCATCAGCTGACGTTGCATTGAAGGTTCTGTTTGTCAATGCTAAGTATTAGTTATGATACATGTTGCATGAAGTAAACACTGCGATATGTAATATATACTATGTACAACTAAATATTATACATTAGTTGTCATGTACTGTACACTATGCATGACAATATAAACATTACTTGTCATTTGCCATACATTACGTATAACTATATACATATTAATCATCATGTAATAACTTGGTTTAACTGTATACACATTAATCATCATGTAATAACTCGGTTTAACTGTATACACATTAATCATCATGTAATAACTCGGTTTAACTGTATACACATTAATCATCATGTAATAACTCGGTTTAACTGTATACACATTAATCATCAAGAAATAACTCAGTTTAACTGTATACACATTAATCATCATGTAATAACTCGGTTTAACTGTATACACATTAATCATCATGCAATAACTCCTCGGGTTTTAACTGTATACACATTAATCATCAAGAAATAACTCAGTTTAACTGTATACACATTAATCATCATGTAATAACTCGGTTTAACTGTATACACATTAATCATCATGTAATAACTCGGTTTAACTGTATACATATTAACGGCCATGTCATGTATGACTTTATATACATCACATCTAAACATGGGGACGATACACAAGTACAACATAACAACTTGTATAACCCACAGATAAGCAGATCACATAATTTTAAAATGTTAAAAACTGAATGATAGTTGGTAAGAAATCCTTCTCTGTTAACATTTGACAGTTTGGGGGACAAGAAGTTAAGATCAACAAAGACTCAAAAAACTTTGGGTTGATAGAAACTGAGAAACAATTTGGCAGAGACACCAGGAAAGTTATTAAATCACACACGGCACTTAAAAAGAGGATTTCACACAAAAACATGTTCTTCACACTGAAACTTGTGTATGAGAATTCAATATTGGCCACCTCCACCCACCACTTATGTGATACATTTCTGTGATACAGTTACGTGATACAGATATGTGATACAGATGTGTGATACAGTTATGTGATACAGTCATGTGATACAGCTTTGTGATTCAGACATGTGATACTCCTATGCGATACTGCTATGAGATAAACTCTCGTTCCACCTACATGATTTTCTTTGACTGCGTGACCTCCGCCTCTCTTTGGGCACACGTGTAGAGGGCGCTGTGGCTGTGCGGACACATGCCTCCAGAATCTCATCGTCTCCTGTGTCGTACATCTCGGAATCGGTTGTCAAACAGCCCCGAGATCCCATACTTCTTGCATCTGAATTGGTCACAGTCAGGTATTGTACACAAACACAACAATCCAGAATGTTTACAAGAACTGTAGCACAAGTTTTAATTGCTTCATTATCATCAAACGTAACATTTTCTTGTTTTGATATGATTATCATTCAAACATGTAAAAAGTTTCTTATACCAATTCACTAGTCTTGAAACATGTGACTTTCAGTATACGATTAAGTCTGACAACAGTGCTATTTAACTAACTGACTGAGTTTTGGTTTTACGCCGCTTTTAGCAATATTCCAGCAACATCACGGCGGGGCACACCAGAAATGGGCTTCACACATTGTGCCCATGTGGGGATTCGAACCCGGGTCTTCAGCATGATGAGCTAACGCTTTAACCTCTAGGCTACCCCACCGCCCCAGGGCTATTTAACATGACAAGTCATAATCTATCATATTAACAAGATCTCTGGGTAAGCAGTCTAAAGTGCACGGCTAACCAGATCCTGCTGAGATCAGATCCGGCTTGACCATGAGTGAGTGAGTGAGTTTAGTTTTATGCCGCTTTTAGCAATATTACAGCAATATCACGGCGGGAGACACCAGAAATGGGCTTCACACATTGTACCCATGTGGGGAATCGAACCCGGGTCTTCGGCATGACGAGTGAACACATTAACCACTAGGCTACCCCTCCGCCCCTGTTACCAGGATGTTATTCTGCCGACAGACCAACCATTATGGTGTGTTCTTAATGGCATCATTACCTACTGTTCAGTGAAATTCACCTACTGCACTCAAAGGAATCACCTCATCTATGACCAAATGGTTTCAACATGAATATCCTAAAAAATCTGAAACCAAGTGTCAAACATGTGGTGTCACCCACAGCAAGAGACCAACTTCAACATGCCTCTATTCACCCAGCGGGAACGAGCACCAGATATTTGAGGTGAGGTAAACTTTAAGTCACCAGCATGGAAATGGATACATCCCAGGGAGCTGAGAAAGGTAACTGGAATGTGTTTGGGCCCACTGAACAAATATACACTGCATTTGAGCAGAGATGACTGAATAAGTGCAATATTTAAAAAGATAAATATGTTTTGTTAGAAGAGCGTTATCATGCATGAACCAACCTATTCGCTTCCTGATTTTCTGTCCAGGCAGACCGCGTTCATCAGCACTAGCGTAGCCGTTCTTCAGCAGCTTCTGCAGCTCATCCTCTTGATGACCATCCTTAGACTTGGCGAATCTGTCCGTCTGAAATATAGCAGTGCAGCAGTGATAACTTGGGTCCTATACAGAACAGCCTGGTAAAGATTAGGCAGTATTTGATAGTAAAGATTATGAAGTATTTGATAGTAAAGATTATGCAATATTTGATTGGCTCAGTTTTACGCCAATTCTAGCATTATTTCAGCAATATCACGGCGGGAACACCAGAAATGGGCTTCACACATTATACCAGTGTGGGGAATTTGAACCCCCGGTTGTTGGGATGATGTGCGAACGTATTAACCACTACGCTACACCAACGCTCCACAATATTTGATAACCCTGGTCAATTTAAACTACAAAAGTAGTAATAGTCATACTTGTAGTCAGGGTAAATATTAATGGTGAAAGGATCACACAGGAAGACCCATTCGCACAACATTGACTGGATTTGAGTTGTCTCCCCTGCTACACTCTTACCATCCTCATTGAGGAAACAATTCAATCTGTTTCAAACACTGTTTGAAACTGCATATACACTGATGTCGCAATTGACTGGCATTACATTAGTTTTGGTATTAAGACTGTCAACTTATCATTTGTACATAACAGACTATATAAACACTTTGTCGATGAACATATATAAGTTTGATAGAAACAAACTCCATCAAAAAGAAAAGGACTCTCAGTGAGTTTGTAATATAAAATGTAGATTTTGTTCATTACACTAATGGCTGGGTGGGAGAGTGAGTGAGTGAGTGAGTTTAGTTTTATGCTGCACTCACCAATATTCCAGCTATATGACAACAGTCTGTAAATAATCGAGTATGGACCAGAAAATCCAGTTATCAACAGCATGAGCATCGATCTGAGCAATTGGGAACTGATGACGTGTCAACCAAGTCAGTGAGCCTAACCACCCGATCCCGTTAGACGCCTCTTACGACAAGCATGGGTTACTGAAGATCAATATTCTAACCCGGACCTTCATGGGTAGGCTGGGCGGAAGAGCAAATAATATGGTTCAGAGACTGGAAACTGATAACCTGACTCACCTCCACAATCATCTTGCCCCTGGTCTTCTTCCTCTCTCTCTGGTTGGCCTTCTTCTCCCGCTGCTGGATGACTTTGTCCCGAGTCGTGCGGTACTCCAGGGCGAACTCACTGATGACCTTACAGAAGTGATTGATCCGCTGGTCCTTGGCCATGTGTACTGGCAGCCCCATGAACAACAGGAACTTGTGGAACCTTGGACGATCAGACAGACACATCAGTTGTACATCCACACATACAAGAGGGCTGCTCAGCACTGCTTTGAACAGTATCAGTCTGATGTGTTTGTAACTTAAACGTATAAGCAAAACTTGAAGTAATGCATATATTACACATTTCCACTAGAACACCCTGACAAAGCAAGATACCTGGTCATAAGGTTTTGACTTGTGATCATAATGAAGGTGTCTGGAACAACAAAGGGAAGCAACTCTGCACAGAAATTAGTATTTGTGCACTGGCCTAGCCTTGGTTGCCCCGGAGAGAGCGCCCTCTACTGACCTGTTGATGACTCTCTTGAAGATGACTTGCAGCAACATGATCCTCTCAGCAGCATCACCCAGGAACACCAGCATTCTGACAGAGTATAATGTCACAGTTAGTGCAGGGTCTCACCACCCACATAGTATTGCATGCTAACACATAAACACTGACAATGGCATATATATATATGTGCGTGTGAGCATGAGTGTCTATCTGTGTCTGTCTGTGTTAGGTGGAGGGTCTGGGTCTGGGTCTGGGTAGAGGGTCTGGGTCTGGGTAGAGGGTCTGGGTCTTGGTAGAGGGTCTGGATCTGGGTAGAGGGTCTGGGTCTGGGTAGAGGGTCTGGATCTGGGTAGAGGGTCTGGGTCTGGGTAGAGGGTCTGGATCTGGGTAGAGGGTCTGGGTCTGGGTAGAGGTCTGGGTCTGGGTCTGGGTAGAGGGTCTGGGTGGGAGGGTCTGGATCTGGGTAGAGGGTCTGGGTCTGGATCTGGGTAGAGGGTCTGGGTCTGGGTCTGGATCTGGGTAGAGGGTCTGGATCTGGGTAGAGGGTCTGGGTCTGGGTAGGGGTCTGGGTCTAGGTAGAGAGGGTCTGGATCTGGGTAGAGGGTCTGGGTCTGGGTAGAGGGTCTGGATCTGGGTAGAAGGTCTGGATCTGGGTGGGTCTGGATCTGGATCTGGGGTAGAGGTCTGGATCTGGGATCTGGAGGGTCTGGGTAGAGGGTCTGGGTAGGATCTGGATCTGGGTAGAGGGTCTGGATCTGGGGATCTGGGTCTAGGGTAGAGGGTCTGGGTCTAGGTAGAGGGTCTGGATCTGGGTCTGGGTAGAAGGTCTGGGTCTGGGTCTGGGTCTGGGTCTGGGTTTGAAAAAAGTGGGGTCCACATGGTGTTTCTCCTTTTGGATCTACCATTGGAAAATCATTCAAATTTGACTGTTAAATTTCTTGAATGTTTTTACTGGATGGGGTTACAATGTAAATTTAGACTGTCAATTCCAGTTTTCTACTCCCAATATTAAGTTTCAAACAAGGAAACACCATCTTTAAATGATACATGCTTCAGAGAAAGCATGATGTTATGAAAGCATAGTCATTTTGGCCCCTTCACATTAAAGCACTGGGCTACATCAGTTGTAACGCTATCAGTATTATCATTTTCTGGATTGTGGCCTTTGACAAACTCATGGAACGAAAAGAGTGAGACTATTGTACTCATACATTAGCGTATATGTTACTGTTTCTTGTAATCTGGTGAGTGAGTGAGTTTAGTTTTACGCCGCTTTTAGCAACATTCCAGCAATATCACGGCGGAGGACACCAGAAACGGGCTTCACACATTGTACCCATGCGGGGAATCAAACCCAGGTCTTCGGCGTGATGAGCGAACACTTTAACCACTAGGTTACCCTACCGACCCTCTTGTAATCTGGACTATTGCCAATTTTATAGTGCAAGACCACTGAGATACCATGCGACAGATTAACACAGATACCCCACGTTATACTGACTCCATTATGCTATATTTTAATTTTATAACCATCTTTCAATCTCTTCTGGTATGATGCGGATGGTTGATTGAGCAACTGCCCTTCTACTCTCCAGATAAACCCCAGGTTAATTACAAGGTTACACTGACACAAAGTACTTACTTTCCCTTCATATCTGAGGAGGTGCCGTCGTGTTTGATGATGGCTCGGAGGTAATCCCACGATGACTTGCAGTCATGTTCCAGCTTGTTCAACTTATTGGTGAGTTCATCCCAGTCAATCTGGAAACACAAAAGTCGGATCTTCAGTAAGGTAACACTACACCTCATTCATCCAAGTCAACGAGCCTGACGAGCTGATCATGTTAGTCACCTCTTACGACAAGCATGGGTTGCTGAAGATCAATTCTAACCCAGATCTTCACGGGTCTGAAAGGTATGACTATAACTTACCCGAGAGCACCGTGTGAGAGGTCCAAGTTCGGAGTAGAGATCAGTGGTGTCTGGAAACTGTTCCAGGATGACATTACACAGGTGATGGAGAAGAGAGTGTTTGTGGACTGTGTCCTTCACCTCCGGGATCCGAGACAAGAAATCGACCGAGAAAGCTCGTGTCTGCAGGAGCAAAACATGTAATCATGCAACACTTAAAGTATATATACATATATACATATACTGAACAAAAGAAGTTAGGGACCATGAATATTTTTCAGGATATATTTATAAAGTGAAGACTGATATTGTAGAACGACCACCCAATTCTCATTTCCATGTCTTGTCAGACAATATTGGTTCTTGGGAACTTCTCTGAACATTAGAGAAATATTCTGGCATGATTATCTAATGAAAGCAACTGACCTGTGCACCATTTAGGAAGTTACCAATCGCGAGGATTGTGGACAGGATACATCTGAACGTCTTGTTTATCGTCAGTGTATCAATGCCCTTCTTCAGGTCCATCAGGGGCTCAGACACTTCCTGTTGGGGAGAACAGTATTCACTTACATTTAATAACACAAAGGGGTCAATTTTACTAGAATGTACACACAGATTGCACCAGCAACCACTGTCAGATTTCTGCTATTGATGCCTTAGTTGTGAGAGAATAGATACTTATATGATTAATGTCATTCTTTGACTTTGACTCATATATGACATAGTCTGATCAATTTATGTCATTTATGTTTTCACCATGAAAGAAGCAAGACTGCAGGAAGCCTCAAATGGCGACTCATCAACCTTTTCAATATGGAAAATCACACTGGCAACATACTATCATTCCCCTATGGTAGCCCTTAAGGGAGCACTATACACAAGGAAATATGGTAGACCACTTGACCAGACATGAAACACAGGGCTCCAGATAATTTTTCAACATCAGGAGTACGTAATCCTAATTTTTTCAATATAGGAGTACTGGAAAACCTTAAGTGTATATTTAGAGTACTGAATGGAATTTAATGGCGTATCAGTAATCTTGTGTTTCATTTCATATATGCACCACAACATTGATAGTCTTGTGTAAACAGGTCAATGAACAATAAAACAATACCTTTTCAGATAAATACATCTGTAAATTATTCTAAGACCGTACACCATTGCTGTGGTGCGTATCTGCTACGTTTTCTGAATTATTTCCTACCGTATCCTGCTTATTTTAATCCATACATACACCGATTCGGCCCTTATCTGAAACATAAAGGTAGCCTGTTGCCTATGGACTTGCCTGTTCCATGTTCTCGAAGTCCAGCTTGAAGAGCCAGAGCTTGAGCCTGGGGATGAGCTCGGAGATGGAAGACAGAGTCAGGAGGAACTGCTCGGCTGTCCCGAGGGGGATGTCAGGGTTCGCCATCTGAGCCTCCAGGATCTTCCCCTTCTCCTCATCTGTCGGGATCATCGTCGACAGGATCTTCTGCAGAAACAATTAAGAACATGAATAAGTTTGTTTTAAAGTGGCATTTTGCTATCAAGCATGTAAGCTGAATTTATAAGTGTCTGTGTTTCGGTGCTTTATACATGCAAAACATATTACAGCAAGACCTAGCATTCCAATCCCTGCATGTACCTAACTAAGGGGAAAATTTCTCCCAACTGAGTGGCAGTGTTGTAATAACCTTGACCCTGCAGCAGAATGCTTCTAACTAAGGACATTGGGTCCTGTAAGTTTCAGATGTCTGCCTGACCCATTGAAAATTCACAGGACCCTTAGAATAAAATTAAACATACATTTCTGAATGAACATTTCTTATAATTGGTATTGAAATTATTAACAAACATAAGATTTATGAGCAGCAAACGTGTCACATGTCACATATAACAACTTCAGTCAAAGTCATTGTGAAATATACAGACACTGGGGCCGGCAGGTTGTAGACTTCTATCGGACCGTTGGCGAATCTGCCAGATTTGTCTGAGGGTCAGACGCTATTCGTGAACACTGACTATAAGTCTTCTGGGGAATAGTCCATTAGTGTTACAGGGAGGGCCCCAGAAATTGGCTTCACACAGGAATCCAAGCACCTTTGGTGTCCCACATTGGTGAAATCCGTACATACGCACAGACATACCATTGGCCTTTCAAGGATAGGAATTGTGACCAATCCCCAAATATAAACCAAAAATACCGTGATAAGTGCTATTTAATTTGGTCAAAGAAATTTACCTTTCTTATCTACTTACTTCAATGCCCTCCTTATTCATGATTGACACATCCATTTTCAAGATGGCTGCCTTGATGGTCCTTGGAGGTGGCAAGACAGTCAGACCGATGTTGATAGCATTTGATCGCTTTGGATCTAACACAACAATCTCCTTCCTGGACCCGGTTTCTTGTTTCTGTCAGAACAGGCAACAAAAAGTTATAGTTTTGAAGAGCACACTATGCAGCCATTGAAAAGATGAGAGCTATGTTGATGAAGGATACTGGATAGGAAGGCTGAAAAGAACAGATGGCAAGAGCCCATTGACAGGATAGGGAGTCGGAGACAAGGCAGGGGAGTTCATTCTGAGGATAAGGGGAGTCCTGTGATAGGAATAAAGCTGGGAGAGTTCACTGATGGAAAGGGAGCTTCGGGAATCAGCTGCCCTGATGTATAGCCAGGAGAGTCTACTCTTAGGATAGGGAGTTGGGAGAGTCCATTCATGGGAAAGTTTTACAGCTGGACTTGGAAACAAGGACAAAAATGTTTAATTCCAGTTTTGACCGTCCTAGATTATCCAGTGAATCACATCTACATTCTATTATTATATATACCCTGGACACCATAGGTTCATTTCAGGTTTGGCTGACTGACTGAGTTTGGTTTTACGCCGCTTTTAGCAATATTCCAGCAACATCACGGCGCGGGGACACCAGAAATGGGCTTCACACATTGTACCCATGTGGGGATTCGAACCCGGGTCTTCGGCGTGACGAGCCAACGCTTTAACCATTAGGCTACCCCACCGACCCCATTTCAGGTTTGATTTGGTTCGGTTTTTGGTTTACACCGCATTCAGCAATATTCCAGCTATATGACGATGGTCTGTAAATAATCTAGTCTGGACCAGACAATCCAGTGATCAACAACATCAGCATCATGGTTTCATTTTAGAAGTGACCTAACTGGCGCCTCTCTTATCACTAATACTCATTAATACGCTTGAAATCAATAACCATTTATATTGTCTCTTGAACATGGTATGGGGTGAACTACATTAAATGACAGCCCATATTGTAATTAATCAAATCACAATAATGTTATAAATGGTTTTGATCTGGAAAAGTTGTTTCTGAAGGCTGTGATGAAAAGTCTTACAATGTCGTTCAAGCTGAATTTGATAAAATATGGAAGCGCCTTGAGCGGGCATTGAATGCACGGATACGGGCGTAGTTATAAATACCTACTATTTTTATTATTAAGTGTCTCTTGGATGACTGGGGATATTGCTACCTGTGTTAACCATGAAGGAACAGTGTCATTAGGAAAACTATTTTTAATGTCGTATCATTCAAACGAGACTAAAGATGTAGCTAAGGTGGTGAACAGTTCCAGGATATTTATCATAATGAAATGAAGATGTTGTACACTGATAATCATTGAAGAGGTTTGCGAAAACATGTCTACTATCAGTTTCTGTAAGGGCATGTTGTTTCAACTTCGATTAAATATGTAATGTTAACGGATAGATAATGGTATATCTTTCCAGGGCAGCGGGTCACATAGATGTTTCCTAGGTCCAGGGGAGTAAGTAGAAATTAGAGCGTTAAATGTTAAAAACTAGAGTGACAGCCAGACAGTAAAGAAGACATCAACAGGAAAACACTGAAGCCTAGCAACGGCAGTCAAAGGTACACTATTGTAAACAATGGTCAATCGCTTACAACATAAGCAACAAAAGCAATGATTTGATGACAAACATCATCACTTGCATAAAACTAGCAATGAAAAGGTTCTTGCAAACTCGATATGATGAAAATTCGGTATTCCTATGCACAAGTATCACAATATCCAACTGCGGTTAGAAGCTTGACCAATCAGATTAAAGCACATGATGATGAAGTCAGGGAAAATGAAATACTTTCTATATTTACACACTGACATATCTCATTTATCTCTTACTAAACAATACCCACTTTGTTCCATGCTCTGACAACATTCAAGAATTGGATCAGTAACATAAGTGCACGGATTTCTATCACTTTCTCTAACAGATATCATTATTTCAAACGATTATTGGTTTTCGCTATTGCAGAAATTAAACATTTCAGTTACAAGTGTTTTATGAAAATCATCCATACCAATTTTTTTTAGTATAACCAAAAATATATTATTTTCAGTAAGAGAATCTTTAATTGTTAATAAATTTAGATATTCTTGGTATGAATTGTTTCATAAACAGATTTAATCACATGACAATATTCAATTGGCGAATATAGCCATTACTACGCTAGTTCTTACCACTTCCTGTTAACACAACCACGTGACAACATGCATATTAGGCACCAGCAATGTCGGCAAGAGTGCATGAAAATAGAAGATATATTATATGCATAATTGAGTTCAAACAAGGTTATCACAGTGCACGTGTGATCTGTTTGTAAATGGCAAAGTTGGTGCTGAAAAAGAAACAGAGTTATATTTTCAGAGCTTTTGATCAAGCTTAGCACATTACAACTTTATATAAATTGTTAGAAGACATAAATTTTTATTTACCGGTACTTTACCCAAACATGTTTATTACAGCATTTTGAATTCTATGTATCATATTTATACCTTTGATAAAACTGTATCAAGATGGACAAGCTTGATCATGAAAAGTGTTATAAAATCAGTGGAAATATGTAAACGTCAAGTGTATAGAAAACATTGTGTTGAATCATTTCCTTTCTGTTATAAATCAACAAAACTTCCCAATTGGTAAAACAAACTGTTACCATGGTAACCTTCAAGAATAACTCATCTAATTTTTTGTCAAAATCATCATAATCAATAAACTCAAGTCCATATTTGTTTTAAAATCTGTTTCCAACAGTTACTCAGTAATAACAGTTTTCAAACTGAATAGCAAAATAATTCTTGAAGATCATACCAACATATGGAACCAGAACATTGTAACAATGAACAGTCCTTTACCATGATCCGGACATGAAACTGTGTAAAATAACATAAGCCTCAGACACTGATGTCAATGTGAAGGTATATATGTGTTATACACCAGCTATCATCTACAACTATGGGTATATAAGACACTTGTGAGAACTTGATTCTGGTAACTACGGTAACCCACTTCTTATTCCCTGTTCTACCAACCATGAAGTACTGTACGCTGCACTTGGAAGAGGAACTGCCATTCATTGAAGAATAAAACACTATTTGTACCCGAGATCATTAAACTGACTTGCTCAGACTATCTGTTTGCCGACTGTTTCAAATTGTTAAAATAATCAGAAGACTGACTGACTGAGTTTGGTTTACGCCGCTTTTAGCAATATTCCAGCAACATCACGCGGGGGACACCAGAAAAGGGCTTCACACATTGTACCCATGTGGGGATTCGAACCCTGGTCTTCGGTGTGACGAGCCAACGCTTTAACCACTAGGCTACCCCACTGCCCATAATCAGAAGATATTCATTTGCATATAACTAGAACATATACATCAAGAAAGCAACCTAGTAGCCTAGTAACACTCCATAACAGTTAATATAGATAACTTAAACTTTTCACTGTAGAAAGACAAAAAGATGTCACCCATCGAGGGCTAACAGCAAATTGTTTCCTTCAATTTTAATGACTTTCCCTCTGCATGATATCCTGTATACTTCTCTCCATATATATATATTAGATGTGGTGAATTCTGTGTGCTTTTGTATTCACTCAAAATACAAACATGTCAAGCCTGTTACAACTTACCTAAAATATGTCAGATAATGCAAAAATATGCTAAAGAGATTTCCACAATTACAATTTGTACATTCTATATGCTCATCAGTAATTTTCATCAAACAACTTTCCAGTCAAGGAAGTGTTATCTAAAACTAATCACAACCTGTTGAATAAAAATAATAATATCGCTATGAAATCTGAATATCAATTTCAGTCACAATGACTGCTAAATCTGCATTATGAAATATGGAATATATGTTCAAGACATATTCAATCACTGTTTACCAATTCCAAATAACCTAAGAACAAAGTCTTTTTCTGCAAGGCATGGATTTGTTAACAAGGCCTGACATGTTTGTATGAGTTAGATTCACTCGTGTAACCCGTGGCCACTCACCTTAGTCTTAACCTCACTGGTCCTGGTTTCAAACAGGTGCTCCAGCTTCTCAGGATCCAGCTTGACTGGGACTAGCTGCTTCCACACTGTCTCATCCTTCGATTTAGGAGTCGGGGGCTGGGTCTGCAGAGTTCTCCAATGGAGACGGATAGTCTTCTTGTTCTTTGGCAAGTTGGCTCCCAAAGGAGGCGGCAAGTTAGAGTCCTCTGCAGGAGGACCTGCCATATTGGGAGGGGGTGGGGAGGAGGCATTCCTGGAGGTGGGGGTGGGGGCATGCCTCCCATCATTGGTGGTGGGGTGGGGGTGGTATACCACCGAGGGGTGGTGGTGGGGGAGGGAAACCCATTGGAGGAGGGGGAGGCATATCACCATTCATGTCAAATGCCATCTTAGTAGGTGCGAACACATCATCGTCATCCTCATCCCTGAGATCTGTGAAGTCCATGTCTTTAATTTTCAGAGGTCGCTTCAGTCTCCTCTGAATCCTCTCCCACTGCATGTCACTCTCCGTCTTCTTCACTTCTGGCTCTGGCACAGGTTTGGGTGCAGCAGGCTTAGAATGCAAGCCATCCTTAGCACGCCCAATCAAACCACTAGAATCACCTTGAGGTCTGCCCATCTCAATGGGCAGTTTGGACTCATCTTGAGGACCAAACCTACTAACAGCACTCTGTACACTGCCATCAGGAAATCTGTCCAAAACATGCTTTTTTGGAGGCACATTGGCACTGGATCCTTCATGGAAAGTCTCCTTCCTCTGAGACACACTCCCTCCCTGAATAAACGGACCTTGCAAGTCATCGTCATCGAGACCATGCTGCTGTTTGTACACCTGCCATCTCTTGTTGCTTGACAGTCCCTCAGACTCACCTTCAGGAGCATTACGCATCTGTCCTTGATTCAATGCATTGTTCTTAGCATCCAAGTTATTTGGTTCGTAGTTGTCTCCCTGACTGTTGAAGCTCTGATAGCCAGACTCGTTCAATCTCGAGCCTTTGGAGCTTCTTTGGTCATCTGCAAAAGAAATCACTATGGATTTATAATTGTGGACATCTCATCAAAATTATCAGGATAAAGGACAAGAAACAACATATATTGTGTTCAGTTTACATATTTCTTTACAGTAACTGGCATCTGATTCAGTGAGTGAGTGAGTTGGTTTTTACGCTGCTTTTAGCAATATTCCAGCAATGTCCCGGCAAGGGACACCAGAAATGGGTTTCACACATTGTACCCATGTGGTGAATCGAACCTTCGGCATGACAGGTGAATGCTTTACCCACGAGGCTACCGCGCCCCAGATTCAGTGATGTCTTCCCTGGGTCATCAAAGAAAGGATTTCTCAAACTCTACCTAATTTTCTTTTGAGATGCATGTTAAAACAAAGTGTCTCTGTACAGTCCTGTCCATGTTGGGAATCAAACCTGGACCATCTGTATGATGAGCAAACATAACCACTAGGCTACCCCACATCTCACTGAAGAACCAAATCATCAGATTCTAGGACATCAAGAACAAGAATGTGAACACAAATATTGTTTCTTGTCCTGACCATACATGCACAAGATTCAAACTTCATGCATGAAAACACTGAATGAGTCAACCCATGCATTGAAGTGTTATGACCATTCACATTACAGTGAATTACATGGCATACAGATGGATAAGATCATGATCAGGAACAAGACTTCTCGAAGTCATGAACACACATGTAATACATTAACATGTGCTGCATAATATTAGATTTTTAGATTTGAAGCTATTAATCTATCTATAAATGTTAACGCAGTCATCAAAGATTATCCTTTTGAATACTTGACATCTTATGGGTTAATTTGGATCATTATTGGACATTTTACTGACTGACTGAATATGGCTTTATGCCGTTTTTAGCAATATTCCAGCAATATCACGGCGGGGGGCACCAAAAATGGGCTTCACAAATTGTACCCATGTGGGGAATCAAACCGGGCCTACGACATGACTAGCGTGACGCTTTAACCACTAGGCTACCCCACTGCCTCAGACATTTTACTGTAGCTTGTCCTTGTGCAGGTGCAGAATACATCAAAATGAAATCAGAATAAAACATTTTGGGGATATTTTTTGCTCCTTCATCCAAGTGCAGAATGCACAAACAATGAATAAGTGTGAACTTCTCATTATTTCTGTCCAGTTGGCTTTTCAGTGAGACACCTTACCTAATGAGTCAATATCACTGAAAGAACTAAACGAGGCTGGATCCGGATCTGGCAAATGATCGTGGGCAGATTCTGGGGGGAAGGAGCTAGAGCTACTGGTGGTGCTGGTGGATGATATACTGGCAACTGATATGCGATCAGCCTCGGGGAGATCAACGATTTTCAATTCCTGTTCCTTTCGTAATGTCAGTTGACGTTCCCGCCGTCTCTCTCTGCGTTCCTGTCGACTTTCTGAGGCTGTGGGTATGTATACATGCAGTTAGTGGCACCACATGCACAAAAACAATGTCACACATAACAAATCTTGACACACTCTCTTATCCTGAGTGACTTGGATGGACAAACTTCTTACGTGTTGACTATTATAGTACAAAATCTATAATCATTTAAACAAACTTGGTACCATGACTCACTAAACATTATTAAAACAGTTTTAAAAGTTTCAAAAACTTTTAGAAATTTAGAAATACATACAATAAATTATTCAAATATTTTGCCAATCAGAAATTCGTGAGTATTTCTTTTTGACTCAGGATAAGCAACAGTCTAGTACATCACCAAACATATTAATACATGCAGAAATGATCAGTACCATCACAAACCTCATATCATGGTAACACTGGGGTATTTGGTTCCTTAATTAGGGTTTTGGGGCATGTTGGACAGATACAAAAGGTCTAATTATGGTAATTACTAATTATGGTAGGGTTCGGGTCAACTAAAAGGTAAAACTGATAAATGTACCTTCAATATTTGTAGCTGGAATTACAGAAGACAAAGACAGTGTTATATTTCTCAAATTACCGGTATTTCAAATTATGAAAAATATAAAATGGGCTTAAAATGACAAATTAGTTTGACTCTTAAGCTTATATAGGATGTTCTAAAAATTATTAATGCTGTAGAGTGTTATTATTCTAGGGCCCAGTACCACATAAACATTGACTGGTGTTTTCTCAAGTCTTGGTTATTGATGTCAAACTGAGTGTACAATCAGCAATGTCACACCTAAGTGCGCGGGAAAGGGATAAGGGAGGTAACTCGTGGGTGAGTGTATTTATACATCCGCTTCGGGAACTTCAAGAGATTCAAGTGTTCCACTACCATTCGAAGAGGAAAGGGAGATAAGCAAAAGATCATGAGTCAGGATAAGGTAAAATATTTAAATACAGGGGTAAAATTGTTGATGTCAAATAAACCAGAGACCAACTGTTGGAGAGTCTGACAAGCACTATTTTGGAGAGTCTTATCAATAATGTAATTAGGAACTTGGGTCTAAGTGTTTACTGCCAAATTACCATTTCTCCAATCAAAATGACAACCATGAATATAGATACAGTCAACTTCAGACATAACAAAATACAACCACATGATTCATTTGTCATGTAAATGGTACACTTAGAATTGTTTATCATATCACTGTTCAGTGATCTCAGGTATATTGCTCTTGCTATATCTGGAGTTGACTGTATGGTTAGCACACATTTTGTTATTTCCTGAACTTTATTAAAAACTGATACATGCAGTAGTCCATGCATTTGACATGTGTCAAGTGTGTATTATATACTCAGTCCAAAGAATAATTACTGTTGATTTGTGGTTGTCATAAAAAGTTGTCATTTAATGTCTTTGGATAAGGAATGTTGTGAGGGTAATACTATACTGAGTTAGAATGACTCAATCTAATAATGGCAGAGCAATTTCATTAACAATTTAGATAAAACAGAAAATGTGTCTCCAATTGTTCACTATCAAAAAATGCTAAATAGACAAATAAAACTACATGTACAGCTGAAGATAGTTTTTTTCTCAGTATGTCTATCAAATAGGTGGGTTTTTCAGATTTTCATAAGTTCTCTAAATTCAAGGCATGAGGCAGGAACAACCAGCCCTTACCTCTTGCTGTATATGAACAATACTGTCCTGTATCTGAAGGTGTATATGAACAATACTGTCCTGTATCTGAAGGTGTATATGAACAATACTGTCCTGTATTTGAAGGTGTATATGAACAATACTGTCCTGTATTTGAAGGTGTATATGAACAATACTGTCCTGTATCTGAAGGTGTATATGAACAATACTGTCCTGTATCTGAAGGTGTATATTAACAATACTGTCCTGTATCTGAAGGTGTATATGAACAATACTGTCCTGTATCTGAAGGTGTATATGAACAATACTGTCCTGTATCTGAAGGTGTATATTAACAATACTGTCCTGTATCTCTTGTTGTATATGAACAATACTGTCCTGTATCTGAAGGTGTATATGAACAATACTGTCCTGTATCTGAAGGTGTATATGAACAATACTGTCCTGTATCTGAAGGTGTATATGAACAATACTGTCCTGTATCTGAAGGTGTATATGAACAATACTGTCCTGTATCTGAAGGTGTATATGAACAACACTGTCCTGTATCTGAAGGTGTATATGAACAATACTGTCCTGTATCTGAAGGTGTATATGAACAACACTGTCCTGTATCTGAAGGTGTATATGAACAATACTGTCCTGTATCTGAAGGTGTATATGAACAATACTGTCCTGTATCTGAAGGTGTATATGAACAATACTGTCCTGTATCTGAAGGTGTATATGAACAATACTGTCCTGTTTCTCAAGGTGTATATGAACAATACTGTCCTGTATCTGAAGGTGTATATGAACAATACTATCCTGTATCTGAAGGTGTATATGCACAACACTGTCCTGGATCTCAAGGTGAATATGGTGAATACTGTCCTAATCTCATGGAGGACACTAGTAAACAGCAAGTTATACATACACTGGTTTCCATTATGCTGGTCTTGAGGGAAGGACTTGCGACTGAGCATGGGGAAGGGATCATTGTCTTCAGTTGGAGGACGGAACTGGCTGTAAACAAACAAGAATTAATAAACAGTTAGTGCTTATACCAACAAGTTGTTTTCATAACTGAATTTTATGAATGAAATCTTCACATAAGGGGAGACAACTCTTACTCTTCCCAAATGGAAGAAAGAATGGGACTCCGATTTGAAAGAAAACCGTGAAGAGAGCATTTCGCAATGAGTGAGTGCTACACTCATTATTATTACTGCCTCTATACACAACATGAAACTACAAGTTCTGAAGTAAGAGCAGGATGAGGAGATTGACCATTCCATCTCTTGAATCTCTACTAAAGAGTGTGGAAAGTTATATGTTATACAGCTGTTATATCAGGATAATCAGCTGATAATACCGTAATGGCACACACATGTCTTGTGTCAATGTTGGTACACACATCACAACACTGATCAAGACTAATCTCTGACCTACCTTACCTTACTATCACAGACAACAATCACAATCACAAACAAGTTACATAGTGGCACAGAAAACAATCACAAACTGTGTGCCAGAATCTTGAATCATTTTGCTCTCGCAAGATCTGATAAATGTACATACTTCAACATTAAACACTTAGCATTTAACATGGCTTACTCAAGCTGCTTTTTCTTCCTGTACATTTCTGCTGGAGTCAGTTTCTCCGTCTCCTGGGGTTTCTGAGGCAGTACCGACATGCTGACTGACTTTGTCATCTTGGCCATGCCAACACTGCGCCGACTCTTACGACCATCATCTTTACTAGTGGTACGAGGCTGACGTCTGGAATAAAACAACACCTTTGTTGAAACAGCCGCTATATATCATGTCCCTTATCATTATCATGTATCTTATTTGTTACTTGCTTGAAATATTGAACTATCAAAACAGTTTACATTGCTTACTGGTTCAGCATTTGACTGCATATGCTGATATAAAAGGTCAGTTTATAAAAATGAGTGTATACTATTTCCCACACAACTAACCTGAGGTTTTCAAGCTGAGGAATATCAGCTTTGTCCTCTCCATCTTCACTCTTTAGGGCAGCCTGTAAGGAACAAGAGATTTTAACGTTCACATAATTATACCACACACACTTCAATCAGCTCATACTCTGTTCTGTGCTCCAAAACAATGAGCCACTTTGAAAAAAGAAAATGATTAGGAAGACTGTTCTATTACATTTGAAAAGACAAAATGTCAAGTCATTAAAAATAAATGTAAGCAAACATTTTGTGTCAAACTGACCTCATATGTCTGGAACTGTGTGATGAGATCGAGGTCGGCACCCTTGCGGTTCATGTGCCTCTGCGTAATTCGGTCCATCCCCTGTTCCTCCAGCGCGTCCGTCACGTCGTAGAAGGAGTCCTGGTCAGGCAGTGCATTGATGACCTGCACAAATCATACAGACTCATGAGTAAGTGAGTGAGTTGGGTTTAAGTCGCTTTTAGCAATATTCCAGCAATATCACGGCGGGGGACACCAGAAATGGGCTTCATACATTGTACCCATGTGGGGAATCGAATCTGAATGCATTAACAACTAGGCTACCCCACCGCCCTGAAGACTTGTGAGGCTCTAGGTGTGACATAACCAGGGTGGTAGATGACACAGACTTTATAAAGCCTTAAGAAACACAGCTGCAATAGTACAGCTGAGTGCAATGAGTGAGTCTGTTTTTTACACCAAGCTGAAGCAGTATCCTAACTGCATACTCTGGAATGAGCTTCACATATAGTATCCAATTGAAACATCAAACCCAGAGCCTCTGTGTGATAATTCAAGCCTTATCTTGGATGCACCCCAGAGAACATTCAGACAACTGTAGGAACAGGAATCAAACTTCTTTGTCACAAGCAAACACCTATCCCATTGAGCCATATTCCCCTGCTTATTTTATTTGTTTGACATTTAAGACTGTCACATTATCAAAACATCATGTCATGTCCTTCACTAGCCGTGCAAGATGTATTTGTACTACTGCACAGCAAACCAGGGGAACCTAAATCAAACTGAGAAGACTGACTGACTGACTGAGTTTGGCTTTACGCCGCTTTTAGCAATATTCCAGCAATATCACGACAGGGGACACCAGAAATGGGCTTCACTCATTGTACCCATGTGGGGATTTGAACCCGGGTCTTCGGCGTGACGAGCCAGCGCTTTAACCACTAGACTACCCCACCGCCCCAACTGAGAAGATGTAATGCAAACTCCTGGCACTGACCTTGTTGATTAGAGTCATGGTGTAGATCAGGAGCTCTGTGTCAGTGCCGTCCTTTTCATCCAAAATGTTCATTAGGTTGGACCAAGGTCGGGATCCTAGAACAGGCATCAAGGAGCAAGTCAGTGACTAAGTTGGATCTAATGCCACTTTGAACAGTATTCTATTCCTGTAATATTATGGAAGTGACGCAGGTCCCAGATGTTTACCAGTTGGGTGAAACCCACAAGCATAGGTACAGTGCTAACAAACCTAGAGACATAATCATGGTGAACCAAACTTGTCATAGTTTTCTATCATGCTCAAGGGACACAACTCTGCAGAGCAAACTAAGTCTCTGTGCTCCTAGAATCAAAGAACTCAAACAACCCTTTAAGTTGATTTTGTAAACAGGTTTATTGTTTCAGTTCAAAAAGAGACAATCAAGTTTTCCTTGGCGAACTCTGAATGAATGTTCAGGAATATATTTCTTATTATTCATAATATCCAAGAGGGGTTAATAGACAAATATAAAAAGGTCGCTGATTCTGGTTTTTACAGGTTTCATGTACAATAGTTTCTCTCCTAATTTCATGAAACTTATTCAGGTATTCACGTTGAACATGCATGTAGATCATATTAAATGTTAACCATTCCAAATGTTGACATATCTTAAATGACAGTTCTGATTCTTCCCCATGATTGTTTAACACAAATCTGCCGACTATCAAAGTGTAAAGAGACAATGAAAGAACATGGCAACTTTTCCCCAAAATAACTCTCAGATGCAATAAAAATTTCGAAACAAAACATCTCTGAGGGCTGAAACTATACTCCTAACAACATGGGATCCAATTTAACCTTGCTAGCAACATATCTCTGAAAGCTACCAACACATCAGTTAATACCAATATTATTTGCCAAAATTACATCTCTCAGCAATGATACTATTTATGTAGCAACTAATCTCTGAGCGAAAATGCCACTTTCCTGACAACATATACTTCACACAAAAATTATGGATCATAAATATTTTTTTAAATAGTGTTATCAAACTCTGTGCACTGTCTTTACTTCATAAAACAACATCACCAAAATATTTATGATCACTAATCTATTTCGTTCAATATAATTATCTCATACTGATGCTACTTTCCTGACATACCTCTGCGAGAGTCAACACTGTTGATAGCCTTGATGAGCTGTTGTGTATTACTCTCAGTGTACTCCACGAAAACCAGGATCAGTTTAAGTGCTGTCTTCACCACCAGGCGGCCCTGAAAGGAAGCGAGACTGTCAATGAGTCCACTGTTCAATAAACGGGATGAGGCCACATATTGTCCCTCGCTCATCCTATATTTTGTGGTTAGGTCAATGACATATTTCAGAATAGAACTCGGAAATGATGGTGGGAAAATTATTCAGAAAAACGAATTTGAGATCTCTGATGTTTTAGACATACAGGAAGTATAGGAAATACTACACGTAACTCGTAGATAGGATGCTATGTGAAGTTGTATCTGTATTCCGATTTGGTAATACAGTTGTGTGGGAACTACAATATATATCTGTAGGTGTAACATCATGATACAAAAAATACAAAAAAGATCTGACAAAACTGAATATAAGTTTGAAACAAAAATATTTAAACCATGTTATTCTGTCATAATTCTTTCTGATAAGGGAGACTGTTTTCGTTTTTTTGACAGATTAACATATCTTTCTAGTTTTTTATTTGAACTTTATATTGAATTTCACTCCTCATCAGAAAGATGTGTGTGCTGCGATGTGTCATGCCGTTACCTTTGATGCGAGTAGGCCGTACAGCCACTGCACTGTGGCATTATGTCTGATCACCCCTTCCATACCATCGACGTACAGCATCACCTGTCCCAGGGCTGCAACAGTAACAACACTGCATGCACTGCTACGTAGACAACAACATCTACATATATAATTTGATCTACTATACGTGAGACTACCATGATATGAAACCATAAAATGTAAGCAATCTACAGTTACTGTTTACTTAATATTTGTTCAAGTAGATATTATGTTGTCTGCATCTATTGCAAACACCTTAGACAGAAAACAAGGCAAGTCACAGAAATAAAAATGTCTTTGAAATAAATTATTCAACATCATACACTTTTAACTGAATTGGCATCAAGCTCATTACTTACGAAACTGACCGAACAAAAACAATCATCACATAAAGTAAAATATAGTTTAATAAAGTTACAGATATTTACATTTTGACCAATCCAAACTAATCGGTTTGCTTAAAATCTGTTAATCACAAATTTATAGCTAGTCTGACTCACCCCTAAGTATATAATTCTGATAGTTCTGGTCCGCCTCCGAGCCCACTTTGATAAGGCAGTCGAGTCCATCATTGTTGACAAACTCATGGACGAGATCCTTATCATCCTGTAACACATCACCTCAAACTGTAAATACCTCAAAAGTCAAATACATCTACATCAGAGTTCATTTCAGACAGACATACCAATTGAATTGTTGTCTTCGGTACAATTGGACATTTTCTCATGATACATGCATTACCGGTACTCATTTAGCCTCAAAATTGGCAATAAATTTCAATCTTAGTAATCCCTGTTTGTTTGCTTGTTGTTTAATGCCTTACTCAGCAATATTCCAGCTATATGGTGGTGGTCTGTAAATACTCGAGTCTCTACCAGACAATCCAGTGATAGCTGTCTTACTCAGCAATATTCCAGCTATATGGTGGTGGTCTGTAAATACTCGAGTCTCTACCAGACAATCCAGTGATAGCTGTCTTACTCAGCAATATTCCAGCTATATGGTGGTGGTCTGTAAATACTAGAGTCTCTACCAGACAATCCAGTGATAGCTGCCTTACACAGCAATATTCCAGCTATATGGTGGTGGTCTGTAAATACTAGAGTCTCTACCAGACAATCCAGTGATAGCTGCCTTACTCAGCAATATTCCAGCTATATGGTGGTGGTCTGTAAATACTAGAGTCTCTACCAGACAATCCAGTGATAGCTGCCTTACTCAGCAATATTCCAGCTATATGGTGGTGGTCTGTAAATACTAGAGTCTCTACCAGACAATCCAGTAGACAATCCTGATAGCAATATTGCTATATGGTGGTGGTCTGTAAATACTAGAGTCTCTACCAGACAATCCAGGGATAGCTGCCTTACTCAGCAATATTCCAGCTATATGGTGGTGGTCTGTAAATACTAGAGTCTCTACCAGACAATCCAGTGATAGCTGCCTTACTCAGCAATATTCCAGCTATATGGTGGTGGTCTGTAAATACTCGAGTCTCTACCAGACAATCCAGTGATTAAAATCATGAGCATCGATCTACGCAATTGGGATACGATGACATGTCTTAACCAAGTCAGCGAGCCTGACCACCCGATCCTGTTAGTCGCCAGTTACGACAAGCATGGGTTGCTGAAGACCAATTCTAACCCAGATCTTCACGGGAACACAAATATGGGTTGCTGAAGACCAATTCTAACCTGGATCTTCATGTGCATCTATTCCCTGAGACATCATAGGAGTTAATAGTTCAATTACCAAAGTGGTCACATGATTTCAAGACAAGGATACCCACCAACATGCTTGTTTCTGCAGTGATCCATTTATTTTAACTTCATCAAATTTAATTGAACATAGTTTCATCAATAAACAAGCACACATGATAAGATCATCATCTCACATTCCAATGTAACATACTTAACCTGATCCTGTGACCTACTCCAGAGTATGAATGGCAACGCTGCAGTCTCAAGTGTACATTTCCCATACCACTCAGACAGACATGAATAGCCTCATTCAGGTGTTGTGTAATACACCATGGCATCGGCTGCTTCACAGACAGATACACCGCTTCCCCTATATCCTTACCATGGACAAATAGTGTAAAGTACAAAGTACAGTAAACTACGTTTATAATGTAGTGACCAGAAATTATAGTTTGTAATAACTGTAGTTTGTTATATGTGTTTCAACTAAAATATACATATGCTATTATTTAACAATTTATACTGCTACCATCTTTCATTTCATTGAGGTAGTATCACTTATCCATAAAATCTTTGTTTGTCTTTTTTATGATATATTGTATCCATCCATCCATTTAAATTGTATATTGTCTCATCCATCTAGTTGTATAATGAATCCATCCATTGATGAAGACATAGGGTATCAATCCATTTATTTCTGTTATATATTGTATCATCCATCTAGTCATATAATGAATCAATCCATTGATGAAGACATAGGGTATCAATCCATTTATTTCTGTTATATATTGTATCATCCATCTAGTTGTATAATGAATCAATCCATTGATGAAGACATAGGGTATCAATCCATTTATTTCTGTTATATATTGTCTCATCCTTCTAGTTGTATAATGAATCCATCCATTGATGAAGACATAGGGTATCAATCCATTTATTTCTGTTATATATTGTATCATCCATCTAGTCGTATAATGAATCCATCCATTGATGAAGACATAGGGTATCAATCCATTTATTTCTGTTATGTATTGTCTCATCCATCTAGTTGTATAATGAATCAATCCATTGATGAAGACATAGGATATCAATCCATTTACTTCAGTTATATATTGTATCATCCATCTAGTTGTATAATGAATCCATCCATTGATGAAGACATAGGATATCAATCCATTTATTTCTGTTATATATTGTATCATCCATCTAGTTGTATAATGAATCCATCCATTGATGAAGACATAGGATATCAATCCATTTATTTCTGTTATATATTGTATCATCCTTCTGGTTGTTTAATGAATCTTTCCATTCAAGTTTAAATGGTATCCATCCATTTATTTATGTTATATATTGTATCATCCTTCTGGTTGTTTAATGAATCTTTCCATTCACGTTTTATATGGTATCCATCCATTTATTTATGTTATATATTGTCTCATCCTTCTGGTTGTTTAATGAATCTTTCCATTCAAGTTTTATATGGTATCCATCCATTTATTTATGTTATATATTGTCTCATCCTTCTGGTTGTTTAAAGAATCTTTCCATTCAAGTTTTATATGGTATCCATCCATTTATTTATGTTATATATTGTATCATCCTTCCGTTGTTTAATGAATTTTTCCATTCAAGTTTTATATGGTATCCATCCATTTATTTATGTTATATATTGTCTCATCCTTCCGGTTGTTTAATGAATCTTTCCATTCAAGTTTTATATGGTATCCATCCATTTATTTATGTTATATATTGTCTCATCCTTCCGGTTGTTTAATGAATCTATCCATTCAAGTTTTATATGGTATCCATCCATTTATTTCTGTTATATATTGTATCACCATCCAGTTGAAGAATGAATCCATCCAGTTATACGTCTAAGTGATATATCTATTAAATGTTACGAGATATATCCAGCCAGCCTGCCATTTATTCCATTAACCCTGGCCTATTTCACTTGTCCATCTACCATTTCTTCAGACTACAGTACATCTTATGAACAAATAACCCATCGTAAAGCTGCTAATCACTTGTTGCATAGCAACAGACAACTTACCTGAAAGATTTGCTTCAGTGAAAATAAAGCTCTTCGTAATTCTCTCCCAGTCGATGTCAGTAATTTTTCTGAAAAATAAGCAAAAAACATTAGCACAATTCACTTAGAAATAATTAAAAAATTAAAAACATCCACCATGGACTGAAAGTCCCAAATCAAAAAGTGGCCCAATACTATCCCAGCTTGTCCAAACTATACACAACAAATACACTACAAATACACAACACTACACATGGGTAGTGAAAAATAAACCAAAATTTGGTTTGACATAAAAAGTATAAATATAGACATATTTGCCCAGTAAGTTATCACAAAAGTATCAGCCCCAGTAAGAGTCCAAGCTTGTCTAAATTCCACAGCAAATATTACACATCACGTAACAATAGTCAATGGCAAAACAAAATTTGTTTAGGATAGATTAAAAAAGTATAAGAAAACAATTTTCCCTGTACATTTTCGTGAAAATATCAAAAAGTGACTAAGACAGATCACAGTTTATCCGAATCGGACCAAAATCCACATCCTGCCCATCGACAACACTCCATGACAAAACAAAATTTGGTTGGAAATAAGAAATAGTATAAATAAAGACAATCTGCCCTGTAAATGATCCCGCATGACGTTGGGCCTCTCTGGTAGGACCAGAGCGTCCATGCAATATGGCTTGGTTTCCTCGTACTCAATGAACTGAAGAAGATTGGCAAAGTAGGAAAATCAAACAAGCAAACAACCAGTTTTTGGAATATTTTCCATTTGTAACAGACCAAGACTGAAGGAAATATTCCACGAATTTGTCCCGCGATGTTTGTTGAGTGATGCCACCTTGTTTAACACCTTTTGATATTTGCATTATATTATACAAGGGTATTGAAAACACTTGAAATATGTCTTTAAAACAATATCACCCCCAGACAGGAGAGACACTTTGTTTCTCAATGCTACCATTCAACCCTGTCCCTTTGCAATCATCAGCTGGTGATAATATTGCATATTTAAATTGGGTACAGTCAAGGTTGTTTTCTACTACAGTCCCAATTAACTGTTTTATATACAGCTTTCTGGTGATCCCAAAATTACAGAATTTAGAGATAAATTAATTCTGTTTAGCCATTTCTGACCTAATGACTAATTACCAATGTATTGTCAAGGTGACAGACTCAGGACAACCATTGTCTTAAAGAATCTATTATTCCAAATGATTCTAACCCAATAGTAATGACATGTATATACCTAAAGTCTGACTTAATTGGCATTAATTGTGAGGATGTTATCCTATTGTTAATCCCCATTGTATGTTTAAGATCTTCACGAGCTGTGTAACCCTAGCTATTACACATTAGTTACAGTTGTTTAAATCTTCAATTTCTGTTGAAATGATCTTCCTTGAGATGACTGTGTTCATTTTGAGAAGCTTCTAGCACAGGATCTGATAAGTTCTGACATAGTTTGATGTGTTTGTATCATAAGAGCGGCGATATGGGCCATGTGATATAACAGATATCATATAGGTGGAGATATATACTGTTCTTTCTGTACAATATCAGATATGTACATACTGACTAATATAGTTATATTATCAGATTGCATCCCTGAAGATGTAGGCCATTTGTGAATATGGGACATCAGATCAGGTGTGGCGATATAGGTTATTCAAACTGAAATGTGTATTGTATGTGAATACATTGACTGTTCAACACGTGTATTATACAACATGTGATATTATGTTTATCCAATATGTATGACTGTATCAGACATATGATATTTATTAGGGTAATACACTAATATCAGATAAGAAAGGATAAGTAATTTTTATAATTACCAGTAGATACATTAAGATTAGGTATTGATGTTTCTTCTTTATATATTCAGTCCATGGGAAGTATAACTGGATTCGTGACATTTGCAGTGCATCAAATATGTGAAAAACATTTTTTTACAATACAGGAAAACCGTCACTTCAGATCATCCCATTCCCAGCTCAGGTATTCATAAATTAGGAATATAGAATGATATTCCTTTCAAGTACGATTATAGATATCAGGGGTGGTGGGATAGCCTAGTGGTTTAAGTGTTCTCTTTGTCAGGCCAAAGACCTGGGTTTGATTCCCCACATGGGTACAATTAGTGTTAAGCCCATTTCTGGTGTCCACCGCCGCGATATTGATGGAATATTGCTAAAAGTGGCGTAAAACTACATTCACTCACAATTAGATATCAGTAATTTTCCATATTGCAGGGATGATTTTCAGCAATCTGTTCATATAATTTTCACATTTATTTTGTGCTTTATACCACTGGGCAGATAATCAAGACTCGTTCTCAGGCATTGACGTTTTATCATTTCGTAACAAACAGGGTTGAGTCTATAGGGGTTTTCAAGTCATCTGTTTATTTTATACAGGGTGATCTCCTAACGTCAAAGGCCATGTGACAGACTGTGTGTAAATATCAATGTCCTGTGGGGTGTTAACACAACTATGAAAGGCCCTAGCCACCGATGTAGACAAATTAAGCTGTCACAGCTCCGATTACACAGCCAGTAAAACCCAAATAGCTCCAATTTGTTCTACACTGTACATCATTGTCTTCAGCGTGCACTCTGTCCAATCAGGAATGAGTCCTATCCCCTGCCATGTTTTATAAGCAAGCATTGTTAAGAGTTGTGTGATGGTTGAGTGGCTCCAGCCTTCTCACCTTGGTTGTGTGTCTGTGGTCAGGGACCTGTGATACGAGATTATATACACCAGGGGAGATAATACTACAAGTGTCAGATTTAATCACTGGTTGCTATTGTCATAAAGCATATGTTCACATTATCCTATAATCACTGGTTAAGATGTTTAAAGTGTTATGAAGCATACATTCATAACTATCCATGTCTGACCCTATTTGTTTTATAGTGTTCTTGAGGAACTGTATAATTGATCTGGGACTGATATAAATATTAACATCCTATGGGTGTTAACACAACTATAAATGCCCTATCCACCAATTCAGACAAATTAACCTGTCACTTGTCCGAAATAGACAGCTTAGGCAGGTAGTCTTTTTTTGTATAATATATTCCTAAAAGTTTGTTTTCGTTAAAGTTTTCTTTCTTTTTAGTTGAACACTCTATTCAAGCAAATAAAAAAAAAAAAAGTTAATAATCAAGATCAGGTAAACCGGTGGTTGATATTATGACTGACATTGGGATAAATATTACCCACCATTGAACATGTTGAGGTACAATGACACACTGTTAACCAAGTCATGTATCGGACCACCCAATCCCTTCAGTCGGCTCTTACCACAAGTTGCTAGGCTCCATAACCTGAGATCCCAATCAAGTAAAACTATTTACCTATATTGATCCTCTTACACATGTAATGAACATAATAAATCCCTCAACATTAAGTTATAGTTTCACTACTGATGCAAAACATCTATCTGAAATATGCACAATTATGTTGTTTTTAAAAAATTGACACTAACGCTTCCTTTCATTATTTTCCTCAAATTGTGTTCAGAATGTTATTAACTTTCATCATTCAGAAGGGATAGACAACATGAGGTAAATCAACCTAATTCATAGCTCAATTCAGACAAGTGATTAAGATTTGGGTAGAAAACAATCAGGTCTGTTTGGTCAAGGTTTCAACAGAATTCAGTCAAACAACAGGAATATCCACTTAGTTGTACAAAACACTACTGACCTTGAGGCTCGTAAGGGACCGTTCATAATTTATGGCTAGGGGTGGGGGGTTGATGATGATTTTTAAGGGGGGGTCACCCATTTGTTCTGGGGAGGTAGGGGTCATCAATTTTGTACATGTACATATTTAAAAATTATGCTTAAAAAATATTGGAAGGGGGAGGGCGGATCATTGATTTTGTACATGACATGCAGGGGGGGGTCACTTACTTTGTACATGAATTTTAGGGGGGTCATTCACATTGTACATGCTTCTCCATAAAAATCATCATCACCCCCCCTGGCCATAAACTATGAACGGTCCCTTAAGATACCCGTAAGATATCTGTTTTAGATTTTTCTACAGCGAACCTGTGAAAAAAAACACCTATAACTGTGCTTTAGGAAAACCTGTCTTACTAACTGTGATTGGATATATATCGTCTTGCAACAAAGTGAAATGTTTTTCCCAACTCCTTTCATTGTCCCCAGTTCGAGTAACATACCTCTGTGTCTGGTGATACACAATCATTGTGTCTGTGTGGAGTATAGGTTTACATGGCGGCCTGTATAATACACACACAGACAGGTGTATAACTGTCACTCCTAGATGTCACACTGTGTAACATTGTACAACATACAGGTGTTATACCATGGCTTTATTACACCATAGTGCTCAAACCGGACATGGTGAATATACTCTTAATAATAGTACACAATTTATTTTTTTTCCATTAACGGAAAACATGTTTTGAAACTGACAAATAATGTCTCAAAAGAAAGATTTATTTTGACAGTAACAGAGAAATGAAAGAATTTTATCATGCATATCTACATTTAAGAGGCTATTTTTGCATATAATTTGCATTTAAATAATTTATTCAAACAGTATGCATCTATGTAAAACATGTGATATCTTGATGTTTCTAAAAATAAATCCTATATTTCACGATCCTGTCATACTAATGAGATTGTTCACATTATTCAGTAGCACCTGAGAAACAGATAGATAACAGGTTCCCTCTCTCTGGTGTTTACCTATGACACTCATACAGTTATTTACAACCTTTCCCACAGAGGTTGTCATTTCCCTATCTGATGTAAGAAGGCCTCATTACCACTTGAGGGACAATCCAGCCCCCACAATAAGTCTATTGGATGTCAATACACCATTGTGAGTCTCTACCTGACTACCAGTACACTATACATACATGGACAGACGCTCTACTGTAACTACAAGCCATGTCTTCCTCACAACTAGCTGTATATCTATCTGTACTACTCAGAACAAGTAACGGAACATCCAGTTGTTTTATATTACTAATGGTATGGTATGAAAGATGTGCTATAGTAATTATGAAAGAATCATATATTCATTAAGAAAATATCTTTTGAGCAAAGTCTTCAAAGGAATTTAGAAGTTGGTGTACTAATACAAGACAAATCTTATGGATAACAACTTCTTTATTTGTTTGTCACAACACTTCCTATACAAGAACACACACACACACGAACGAACAGATGAACACACACACGATTGAACACACACACACAAACACACACACACACACACACACACACACACACACACACACACACACACACACACACACACACACACACACACACACACACACACACACACACACACACACACACACACACACACACACTTTTCCACCTGAAGAAGGCAAGAACTAGCCCAGAAACGTTGTGACAAACAAATTAGAAAGTTGTTATGTATAACTTTCACATTGTATCTTTTGAGCAGTATATATTAATGCTGCAAAGATTTTTTTGCAATATGTTCTGTTGGATAGAACTGTTATAATGTACAATACAATCACAATATTGAAAACAGCCCTTCCTATATGAGTTGTATCTTTCTGACCTTACACATCTGACATACACATGATATGGTTTGACATGACATGACAAGCATGTGCTTGTCAGTTATTGAAGTTCTAGGTGTTTAAGCACACCGAGCCAATGCAATAAACGCTGAACTACTGCACTGGTTTGTCAGTTCAATATCCAATAAGCACTAAAAGTCTTTAAAAAGAAAATTATACAGAGGTAACTTTTTTATATTTTCTTAATTTAATGCCATTATGTCTCTCAATTTTAATCATGTGCAGCCCCCCACTGTATAATAAAAGATGATTAACTGGTTTTGATTTTAAAGGCATAAACTTTAGCAATAGAAATATAAAGGCCAGGCTGACTGTGTGTAGGTATAAAAATCAATATTTGAAATCACAATTTCCTGGACGTATGGATGACTTTATTTTGTAACGTTACCAGATATTAGTTTCCACTCAGTGTCACATAAAAACTCTCTAAGTTTGACAAACGGCACCTACGACCAGCCTTCCATACTAGTAGCTACGCCTGAAGGACAAACACTGTCAATAGGACAGATTCACCTCACCGTGAGATGTCCCTTTCAGTTATTTGACCACCCTGAGGCTGAATAATGAACACCTGATGGTTATTGGCAATATTGATAACTGTTGCTCTCTCTATTCAGTCACGGCCCATTAATCATAGCGATGGCTGAAGTATGACACGAGGTGAAAGGTCAGAATGACCTAGGGAGGGTATGCTGTGTGTACATAATCTCTATCTACAGTAGCTTCGTCTTAGGGGGATTTCCAGCTTTATTGTACATTAGGGTATGACAAAAAGGAATAAGACTTAAGTAACACATTTATTCAATTAATAATAGTTAATAATGTATCAATAAACTAATTCCGTGTTAAGTCCATATTTTTAATGTTCCCCACAAAAGTTCATGTAAACAATTATTCTGTTATAATTACTGTGAAAGGAAAAGATCATTAAAATATTTTTAATAAACATTTATCCCAGGCTAATGCGCATTAAATGTTAAGAATACTATTAAATTTCCTTTGATTTCTACATGTACAATACATAAGAGTGAAAGGCTGAGCGTTATTTACATCATTATGAACAATGTAGGCACATTTTATGGATAACTCTACATTGGGGAATAGCAATAGTGATGGAATAGATACTTATGCGGTTATAAAGCAGGGCTTTATTTCAGTCCTTCAAGTTAATGGTACAGGATCTAGACTGAAACATTGCTATTACAGTAACATTCAGAAGATATTCTCCATAAATTGTGTCAGTAAAAATGTCATCTGTCAACTTCAAAGATATGCCTATCAAATAATTCACATTCAGAATTACATATTTTCTATGTAGCATGACATTCAAATTTAAATAATAAATAGAAAACTCAGTTGAAATGTACAGTCACCAACAATTGTCGACTGTCTACCAGATAATTAAAGAACATTTCATGCCCCATTAATGACCTATGCATACATAGTGTGAATAAATGCATAAATATGCAAAGGAAGGCCTCATGGAAAAATTAAAGAAATTGTGTTCAGCTGTACATGTTTAGCTGTACTTCAAAGAGTGAGTGAGTGAGTATGGTTTTATGCCGCTTTTAGCAATATTACAGCAATATCACGGCGAGGGACACCAGAAATGGGCTTCACATATTGTACCCATGTGGGGAATCAAACCCGGGTGTTCGGCGTGACGAGCCAATGCTTTAACCACTAGGCCACCCCACCACCCCTGTACTACAGGTAATAATGTCACGTATGACCAAGTCATATTTCGCAAATTCCCACTTATGAATTATTCCCATCTAGCTGAGTACCTTCAGCCAATGAAATTACAGGGAAGTTTCTCAGAGATTTAAATCTGAAACGACTATGTTATGTGAGAGCATGAATCTGAATTATTATTCACACAGTATGACAGTTGAAAGGGAAGGGATTGTCTCAAAACTCCTACATGTATTTCTACTGACTGGGAAAGGTCACATGTCAAAGTCTAAGTCCATTTTTAAACAAGACTTGATCCAATATACTCACTGACTGAGTTTGGTTTTACGCAACATCACGGCTGGGGACACCAGAAATGGGCTTCTCACATTGTACCCATGTGGGGATTCGAACCCGGGTCTTCGGCGTGACGAGCCAACGCTTTAACCACTAGGCTACCCCACCGGCCCTGATCCAATATACATTGTTTACCACCCTACTATATTTCTTGTCTATAACACTAACACAGGTTACACACTTTTATATTTCTGTATATAAAATGAACATGAATAGCATGAAGTCCAGTACCAATGACTGTTCATCAAGCTTGTAACAACAGTGAAATGATAATTTTTGCTTTCTGTATGATGTTTGTATATTATGAAGGTTTTTCACACTATAAAGCATGTTTAATTAAAATTGCAAACATACATATTCATCGTCAAAATATTTCAGTTTTGTGAGCAGACTGTTTAGTCACACCCTTCCATTATAGGAAAGTGTCACGTTTTATTAGTCATTCCAAACTTCACCAAACTTCAAGCATATTTCCAACAATATCTGATGACACCATTTCCTTCCTGTATTCATGTCCTAACAAAAATAGATGTCCGTGACCAACAAGTAAGCATTTTCCTGAGGATGAGACTGACTGACTGACTGAGTTTAGTTTTATGCCGCTTTTAGCAATATTTCAGCAATATCACGGCTGGGGACACCAGAAATGGGCTTCACACATTGTGCCCATGTGGGGCATCGAACCCGGGTCTTCGACGTGACGAGCCAACGCTTTAACCACTAGGCTACCCCACCGGCCCTGAGGATGAGACAATCCCTGTGAAATGAGAATGAGTAAGTTGAAGTGTAGTAACATACCACTTAAACTGACTGACTGAGTTTGGTTTTATGCCACTTTTAGCAATATTCCAGCAACATCACGGTGGGGGACACCAGAAATGGGCCTCACGCATTGTACCCATGTGGGGATTCGAACCCGGGTCTTCTGCGTGACGAGCCAACGCTTTAACCACTAGGCTACCCCACCGCCCTATACCACTTAGGAGCAACATATTGTCTATAACAGACCAGTAAGGGCAGTGACATACTGTCTATCATTTACTTCTCTAAACTAGAGAACTCCCCCAACTGGAAGGCACCGCCCACCAGCCATGACGGAGAATTGTTGTAATGTGAGACAATTGGGGTTGTTTAACTTCTGTGGAGAAAACTATAGATCAGTAAAACAGTGGACTACTTACCTATAATAGCATGTACCCTGACTGTCAGTTGAGTTCGCAGAATCAGCGTGTTCTTCCGCCTGAAAAGATAGTGCCAAGAGTTATGGAAGATATCTCTACTTCCCTCCCACTGTGTTGTATCACGAAAACTGGGGAATATGGGTGTATATCATATGTGTATATAAAGCAATAGCATCCAGTGGCCATGTACCAGAATAACCACAACCTCTACAGCATTGAAACAGATATGAAAGAAAAACGATTAGTGTATATAAAAAACAATGACGACACATGTAACAGTTTATGAGTTTCGTACTACAACAAAGAGAACAGGTGCTCCTTTCACGAAGCAACATTTACTAAGGTTAACCTTAACTCCCATTCTTTAACATTGCACTAAGGTTAACTTAGTGACTTACAATCACCTTAGTGCTTTGTGAAAGGCCCTGGTCAGTTGTTTGAATCAGCTAAAGAACTCAAAGCTTTTAAATGGAGGTGGACAAATTTATTTTTTGTTATATGGATGAGCCTTCAACCTTCTCTATTGGTACAAAACTGTTTACTATATTCCTTGTTAAAAGTTGCTGTCTGAGACTGCAAGAAAGAGAAGAAACTAAAACATTTCTGATAATGGTTACTAGGCAGTTACATATCCCTTGTACACTGTTCTATTGTTTTAGAATACCTATAATATATACACAAGAAAATACATACTGTCATGGGCATTGGGGCTAGTACTTGGCACATATAAAAATCAGTCCAGGGCAATCTTATTGGTGAGTGATTCAGTTTAGTTGTACGCTGCTTTTAGCTATATTCCAGCAATATCATGGTGGGGGACGCCGAAAATGGGCTTCACACATTGTACCCATGTGGGGAATCAAACCAGGGTCTTCGGCGTGAGGAGCGAACGCTTTAAATACAGTAATTTAATTTTTTGGCGTTCCACAAATCAACCGTCTTATCCGTCTGTACATTCCATGAAGAAAATGTGATGAAAAAGAAAATATTGAATGTGAAATGTTTCTTCACATGCAAAGATCTATATTAGGTTGCAATAGTACGTATCTACTATGTAGTTATAGATAATAAAAATACCATTTCAAGACAAATACAACACACAAGTTTCCATTTAACATCCAATGAAAGACACTGGACAATGAAAGTCAAAGAAGTAATCTAATCCTTTCTTATAGAACAAGCTAAGTATATGGATGACAACTTCTTTTATTCCAGAGCACGACGTTTCGATACAGGTTCTTGTATAGTTTTCAAGTAAGAATAGTACAGGAACGAACGAAATTTGGAGTTTTACGTCGGCTTTTAGCGGGGCCAATGTCCCTGACAGGATTAGTACTGGGAGAGAACAGGTGATACATTGTATATACAAGAAGACTAATTAACAAGACAAGGCGGAATAACAATGTGATATTAACAAATAAAGGGATAACAGGAATACAAGGATAAACACAGGGGTGGAAATAACCCATTGCCCGACGTCCGAGTCCAGTGTTTTTTTCTGTCGGGCAAGCAAATTTGTACATCACATTGTACCGGTGTCCAGTTGACTTTCCAATGTTAATTATGTTGTTTATTTAAAAAATCAGCAAGAAAACGGTCGGTATAGTGGAAAAATTATCAGGGCAAGTGACTTTACATGTGCCACTGTACCGGAGTACACTATCAATTTTAAAGTTATTTCCACCCCTGAAACATGGAGGCCAGTGGAAGCCAATGATACAGAGAGCATAGAATGTATACAAGATTAACAATGTGATGATAGTGAATAAAGGGTAGCAGAGGACAACGGAGATACACATAGAAGCCAGTAATGTTTTATGCTGGGTTTTTTTCATGACAGTAATCCTTTCTGTAGTGGAGATGCAATTCAAGACTAGGAAACCGATATCAGCCTGAGAATGAGCACTGAGGACAACCAGTGTCAAGTATGTCCCGGAGTAAACTCCTGAAGCATCAAAACATGGAGGAGGTCATTCTGAAACCCCAGGATAGATGAAGTGATACTTTAATTAACGAAAACACTTAAAACTTATCTACATTTATCTCCTAGAGAACAAAGCAACTCATTACGAGATCTTGCTTCTACACTGATACCCAAACATTTGTTACATTAGAGAGGATAGACTAAATTGATGTACTGTTGGTGCATGGGCGAGTGAGTACTGTTTTACGCGCTTTTAGCAATATTCCAGCAATATCACGGCGGGGAACACCAGAAATCCATGTGGGGAATCAAACCCGGGCCCTCGGCATGATGAGTGAACGCTTTAACCACTAGGCTACCCGGGGCCATCGCCCCCTGTTGGTGCATGGAACAGTTAACTAACAATTACTGGTGGTTGGGTAGCCTAGTGATTGAAGTGTTTGCTTATCACAAAGAAGGCCTGGTTTGAACCCCCACATGGGTACAGTAGTGAAGCCTATTTCTGGTGTGGTTTGTCAGGATATTGCTGGAATATTGCTAAAGCTGCATAAAAACTCACAAAAATCGTTAGCGATGCATGGTCAAAATATCTGAAAATATTCGTCAAGGGGTCGACATCATGAACATCATCAGAATCAACGGAGCATGATGACACACAATCAACTAATTGCGTTCTTTTGATGACAAAAAACAGTGTTTGGGAACCATTCCAGACCATGATGCATTGCTTTAGCCCACACATAACAACTGCAGATCTAGCATCTATTGCCTAAACTACAGCCCAAGATGAAGGTAAAGAGTTCAGTCTTTAGGTCACCATAGTACGATGATGCGATCCAAAATATTGATACCTAGCAGCTGAGAACTTGGTAGGTAAATAAATATACTCCTACTGTTTTGCATACACATTCATGAAACACAGAAGGATAGTGACTTATTATTATACACCAATTAATCATTAATGAAACGCTATAGATTTTGAAGTCAGTTTGTTCATTATTTCATCAAACTGCATCAATTTCATCAGTTTAATGAAAGTGGTTATAAACTAGGTCATAAATTTAATTGAGCCTCGTGTTTTAGATGATCGTTTCTGTATATACAAACAACCTATTTCGCCTACTATTGTCTAACCACACCAATTAAATTTAATTGTGCTCCATGTAATCTAATACTGACTTTCAGAACTTTAAATGCAAGTGCTTCTGACTTCATCCGTCAGTGGGGTGATGGGGTAGCCTAGTGGTTAAAGCGTTCGCTCGTCATGCCAAAGACCCGGGTTCGATTCCCCACATGGGTACAATGTGTGAAGCCCATTTCTGGTGTCCCCGCTGTGATATTGCTGGAATATTGCTAAAAGCGGCGTAAAACCAACTCACTCACTCACTCAATCATCTGTCAGTATAATACATATAATTATGCATGCGTTGACATGACCTGGGGCTGTGACTCATGTCAGCTGGGTGAAAGAGAGCATGTCAACCAACCAGCATGACAATATCGCTAGACAGCATGGCAATAAGTATGTCGACATAATACGGCATTAATGTGGCGTGCGGGATTCTCTGCTGGAATGTCTAATTATATCAGGCGATGCATGGCTTTTTCAATACCTATTTCATTTGTATACAATGTGCATAGAGTAGTAAAATTAGGTCTAGTTTTATTTGTTTGTTTGTTTGTTTGTTGTTTAAAGCAGCAAACATCAATGTACTAGTTAAATGACAGCGTATTGTAAATAATCTTGTCTGGACAAGACAATCCTAAAATCAACAGCACGAGCATCAAGGCTAGTCTTGCTCCATGGATGTATAGTAATTTTATCCTTCAAAGAGCCATGTCTAGATAAGCGGACAGTACAAGGACGTCAGACTGTCATAGGGTCAATGTGTTCTTTTTACTTATATTATTAGAAATTTTCATTAAAACTATAAATTATTACCTTAGAGACTTGTGCAAGTCTACATCAAGCCATCAACCAATGAGCCTAACCATCCTATCCACTTATGTCACCTCTTTCAGCCACTGAACCACCAGAGGTTGCTGGAAACCTGTATTTCTACCTGGAATCGACACAGGTTTCAGTCCAGTCCATGTAGTGTAGACTGACTGAGTTTGGTTTTTACGCCGCTTTTAGCAATATTCCAGCAACATCACGGCGGGGGACACCAGAAATGGGCTTCACACATTGTGCCCATGTGGGGATTCGAACCCGGGTCATCGGCGTGACGAGCCAATGCTTTAACCATTAGGCTACCCCACCGCCCCCCATGTAGTGTAGATGCTCAATAAGGTTTTAGTGTTATAACAACACTGAAGTCAACAACAAACGATGATAAGAGCTTTGTTCGGGCTAGTAGCCTTAAATTATAAGGTGCTTGCACACTTTGATACATAATGACTAAATTCAAATCTATTGGAAGTTCCCTCAGTGGAAAACTGACTTTAAATATTGAAACAATGAAATCCCAAGTAAGGATGAGATATATGGATGAACAACTTGCTAATTTACATTGAAGAGGGACATATCGGTGTAGACTCTAACACTGTTATCATCAAGTGATGTACAGGGTAGTGTAGACTAAGGCTTAGTCTCTGAATATATATAATTTTGATAGTAACAAACAAGCCCATTTATATTGAAAAGGAGCCCTAGGGAGACCAGAGATTCAGAACCTGAGGAAATCTAGACTTGCTTTATTTAGGAGTTTAGCACTGCAGAGAGGGCTTGGCAGTAGGGAAATTAATGTGGTTCAGGGACTGTGAGACAGACTAAAGGGTAGTGTAGAGAGGCAATGTGCAGATATGAACTAGTGTTTTCACAATAAAGCAAGGAAGCCAAAAAGGAATCCCAAGGGTACTTCTATATCCTTGGTTAGATTTGGTCAAAGGTTATCAGAAATTCTGACGTACTGGTAAACTGAGATCCCAATGGTGTGTGGATATAATTAAATCTGGTCAGAAAACCAGGGTTACCACACCAGGACAACATGATGCTCAGCCATGTCTGTAACTGCCTGATCCCTACTGAGTGAGCTCTTCTGACATGTACAAGGCACTGGGGACCTACTCTTCCTGCTGAGGACCCTTGAAGATCAGGGTTAGAACTGATCTTCAGTAACCCATGCTTGTAGT